AAAGAAAATCACGGGGCACCTGGGTGGCTCAGTCAGTTAAGCGGCCCACTCTTGATTTCGGCTCAGGACATGATCTCAGGGTTCTGGGATCGAGCCCTGTGTGGGGCTCCATGCTCAGCGGGAGTCTGCAGGAGATTCTCTCCCGCTCCCTCCCCTCTGCCTCTCCCCCCGTTTGCACTCTCTCTAAAAATAAATAAATCAATCTTTAAAAAAAAAAAAAAAGAAAATCATCTCAAAGCCAGTGGTATTCTGAATTTGTTTATGCTGATTTACCTTGTATTTTTTTCTGAGCTGCTTTGCCGTGCAGTTACTGGCACTGAGGCCTTGATTTGTGCTTCGAGTCTGGAATAAATACCTCCTGCAAACTGCAGAGTAAAGGGGCAAAATGGAGTTGTTATTTTTATGGAATCAATAGAAGCTCTGCTTTATGAAAATGGCATTACTTTTTAGCTTAGAAGTAATTCTGATTTTCAAAATTCAGGCCCTTTGAATTATAATTTCTGTGAATAATTTTACAGACAGTAAAAGTCACCCTTTTTAGTGCACAGTTCTGAATTCTGACAAATGCATACAGTGGTTTAACCATCATGACAAGGGAGACATACAACACTTCCATCACCCCAAGAAAATACCCTTGTGCCTCTCATACGTCAACCCATTTGCCATGATCAGTTCCTGGAAACTGCTTATTCTGTTTTATTGTCCCTATAGTTTTACATTTTCCTAAACATTATATAAGTAGAATCATAGAGTCTGGAGCCTTTTCAGTCTGGCCTTTTTCACTTTAGCATAATGTATAGGAGATTCATTTATGTTGCTGATGTATCAGTAGTTCTTTCTTTTTTATATGTACCACAGCTGGTTTATTCATTTAGCAGGTAAAGGACATTTGGGTTGTTTCTAGTTTTTGGCATTTCTGAATTTCTAAAACCACTATAAGCATGTGTGCACTGATCTCTGCGGTGACTAAATGGTTAACTTTATAAGAAACTGACAAACCGTTTCCCAAAGCGGCCATTCCTTTTCGAATCCCTACTGGCTATATATGAGAGTTGCAGTTGCTCTCCATCCTGGCTAGCATTTTTTTCTTTCTCCGTTTTAGACATTCTAGTTGGTATCCAGGGGTATCTCACTGAGGTTTTAATTTACATTTCCCAATGACTAATGATGTTGCATCTTTTTGTGTGCTTATTTGCCATCTATATCCCTTCTTTCATGAGGTGTCTGCTTAATCTTTTGCGCATTTAGTTTTATTGGATTATTTATTTTATTATTAAGTTTTGAGAGTTCTTTATAAATTCTGGACACAAAGTCTTTACCAGGTAAGTGTTTTACACATATTTTCTCATAGATTATAGCTTATCTTTTCATTTTCTTAATAGTGTCTTTCAAAAAAAGTGACTCTCAAAAATAGTGTCATTCAAATTTTGATGAAGTCCAATTTGTCAATTTTTTCTTTTATAGATCATGCTTTTGGTGTCACAACTAAGAAATATTTGCCTAACCAAGGTCACAAAGATTTTAGAAGTTTTAACACTGTATGTTAACTATATTGGAATTAAAATTAAGAAAACAAAGGCTTTAGAAGTTTTATAGGGAAGTAAATTTTTAAATAAAAGAATTAGGGCAAGAGTAATTATAAATACATAATACCAATACTGATGTTAATATATAGTGTTATGACTAATACATAATTTTAGTAAGAACATAGGTATTTCTAGTCATCATTTTCAGCAAGATGACATCTTATTTTAGAAATAATATCTAAGCACTGCCTACAGAGTTGACTGAAATCAGCAACTTCCAAAAAGTCACCCTCTGGGTAGTCAGCATTTGGTCAGCAATTTCACAGTTAATCTACTCTTGGTGTGATATTACACTTCCAGCAATAACCTACTTTACTGTGTGTGCTATAGAGGACCCATGGGCCATGGATAATAACATGGAGAACATTTATGTGAGTCAACTGGCTAAATGGGACAGAATATAAAAATATATTAAAGTATTTAAATCGGTCTTTTCAGATTCTGCCTAAAACATCTTTATATACCTCATGATGAAAATAAAGTAGGAAGGTATATCTAAGCAAGCACAGTACACTAGCACATAATTCTTACTTCTTTTGCTTCCTTTGACTTGACTCGGTCAAGATCACCCAATCTCATCTTTATTAGGTGCCCTGTAATTTCAGACATCCGCCGCTGATCTGGAGGTAAAAAATAATAAACCTAACTTTTTATGAGGATGATTTATAACTTTTATTTCTTAAAGAACATTTCAGTTATCAAGAATTTATGAAAATATCATTGGATACTATTTTACAGACATACACACTTATTTATCTTGGAAGAACTTTAGACAGCAAGTGGCAAATGGCTCATACATAGATAATTGTGCTGGTTTTAAGGCTACTTAAACCAACCTAAAATATGATAGTCAGTCATCTTTAGAGTGCAAGTAATGGGCAACAGTCAGCCTGATACCTCCAAACCACAGATGTATAAAACAGTACATTATCTGCTGGGATTGTATACTAATAAAACTCTGGTTGAGGGCTGCCTGGGTGGCTCAGTTGGTTGAGTGTCACACTCTTGATTTCAGCTCAGGTCATGATCTCAGGGTCATGAGATCAAGCCCCACATCTGGCTCTGTGCTCAGAGGGGAGCCTGCTTGGGATTCTGCATCACCCCTTGACCCTGTCTTTTAACAAACAAATAAAAATTCTGGTTGATTCCTAAGGGAATGTGCGAATTCTGAGCCTTATTCTAGTTGGAATTTTTTAAGCTATTCAGCATACTTCATAAAATGAAAGATTCCTATCATTGATATTTATACCTAATTTGTACATTACGTACATATTAAAACCTACCATCTTCCCTTTGTGCATCCTGGTTGAATCTCAAGGATCTTGTGGCATCCCATTTATTCTTCTGCATACTCACACTATTAGAAAAATTAAACAAAAATCAGCATTGATGCTTTAAGAGCGGTTATCTGATTGGATTAAGGACCAATACTCACATGAAAGGAGACACATCTCTAGAAGTTGACTAAAAAAGAGTAGACAACATTAAGGTCCAATTAGAACACATTTACTGATTTGTGTTATAGTTAATAATAAAAAGCAGCTTACATTTATTGAGTTCAAGACACTGTACCAAAAGCATTACAAGTATTATTTCATTTAAGCCTTGCAATAACCACATGAGACAGCTGCCATAATTATCTCTATAATAAAACAGGTTCAGAGAAGTTAAGAAACTTGTCCAAAGAGATACAGATCTAGAATTTGAACCCAGCTTTATTTGTCTGACCTGGAAGCCCCAGCTTATGCAATCTTTTAGAATTCACCCATTTGTGTGCTTGTGGTACTTAGCATGCAGATAAGTGTACAATCTGCCCAATGTAATTGTGTGGAACTTGTTGCAACCCAGCCTTTCATACATTTTTGGAATCCATGGTTTCTCTTTTAGTCAAATGTGGTTCCTACTGTCCTCTTATTCTTACCTGGCTTTTTACCCCTTCCTTCAAAGGTATGGGAAATAAAAATTATTTTAAAAGGTAATAAAATATAATTTATTTAAAAATTATAAAGTCTACTTACTTTTCTTATTTCAAAGTCTATCTTATTTTTGAATAAGTAATATTGGCTCAAAATTCAAAAGTTACAAATAGCACATATAGTAAAAAATCTGTGTTCCCCATTCAATTCCCTTCTTTAGAGGCAATCAGTCTTTTTTCAACTTCCTTTGCAGTTTTTCAGAGATATTTTATGCATATATAAAGACATATATATTCCTCTATCCATGCTACAGAAATGTTAGAATATGCCAATTTACATACTATTCAGCACTTTCTTTTTCTCACCTATCAATATATCTTAGAGATCTTTAATCTCAGTTTATATGGAATTTCTTTGTTCATTTTTATACAGCTAGCATTTCACTGTGGTATATTGTTACTCTTCTTCAGATTTTTCTTGGCTATATTTGCCTGCTTATTTCTCAATATGAACTTCAGAACAGTAATGGATAATTTAGAGCTACCTTCTCTAACGCCTTTTCTTTCTTCTGACCACAGGGTGAAGACATCTGCTTTTTTGGTTGTTTTGTGAACTTCTTTGGCTTTTCCTTTTTCCCTGACAATAGAGAGTCAATGTTATGTCTCACATGCTTCTCCAATGCACTTGTTACTTACTTACAAACAATAAAATAAAATCATTAAAAAACATTGTTTCTTAAAATTAACAAATTACCTCTAAATAAAAAGTAAATATATGGAGAAGTCAAACTGAATTTGTTTTTACAGGGGTTCGTTTTAATTACTTTTCTTCTTTCTACTTGATGAAAAACAGTCAGGGAAATGAATTCAAAGTCCCAATGACACTAGATGTTGAAAATGTTGGGAAAAACTATACATAATTTCTCTAAATCTAAATAGTGGAATCATCACCTAATTCCAAATTTTTATATATATAAAAATAACTATAACTCAGAAAAACACAGTTTGAGAGTGGAATAAGTGAACTCACAAAAAAATCTTTAAAATGTCTTTTGCTTGGGGAGGAGGAGGGGCCATGAAGATAAAAATGGAGATAGGACAGAAATGATCTCGGGAGGAAGCAGATTTGGGGCAAACTGTATTCTGGACTAGTGCATTTCTACAATCAATATTCTGAATTTATTCAGGCTGACAGTGTAGAGGAGAAAGGAGAGGAAGAGAAAAAAGGGAGGGGAAAGAGTCATTTCTCTTAAATCAATGTATGAATGTAAGGATAGTACATTAGATCACTTTCCCAAACATCAATTATTTGTATACCACCTGTGCAATTTTTGCTCTATCATTTAAAGGGAAACTTTATATTACTACCACAAATGGAAAACCTGTAAAATGTGCTACAAGGAAGATAACCTTGAAGATACTAAAATTAAAAAACAAACAAACAAACAAAAACCCAAAAATGGATGCCTGGGTGGCTCTGTCAGTTAAGTGTGCAACTCTTTTTTTTTTTTTTTTTTAAGATTTTATTTATTCATTTGAGAGAGAGAATGGGAGAGAGAGCGTGAGAGGGGGGAGGGTCAGAGGGAGAAGCAGACTCCCTGCTGAGCAGGGAGCCCGATGCGGGACTCGATCCAGGGACTCCAGGATCATGACCTGAGCCGAAGGCAGTCGCTTAACCAACTGAGCCACCCAGGCGCCCTAAGCGTGCAACTCTTGATTTCAGCTCATGTCACGATCTCAGGGTCTTGAGATCCAGCCCCAAGTCAGGCTCCATGCTGGGCATGGAGCCTGCTTAAGATTCTCTCTCTTCTGTCCCCTCTCCCCCACTCATGCTTGCTCTCTCTCTCTCTCTCAAAATAAAATAAAGTAAAATAACATAAAAACAGTATTAACAATCTAGATAGACTGATTTGCCTCCTGACAAGCCCTGAGTCCCTGACATGTGTTTATAGTTAAAATGGGAGATAAACAAGTGTTATAAAATTGCTAATAGACATGATAGGGTGAGATTTGATAATGGAATGTGAAGACAAGTTCTTTCCAAAGAAAACAATGATAAAAACAGAACAAAAATATTATAAACCATTATCTGTAGGTACTGGCAAATAATCAAAGGGAGGTAGAAAGTTGAGTGTTTATATTTAAAAGATGCATAAGGTAGGGAAGTGGGTGAGGGGTAGGGGAAGGGGTGAAACAGGAGACAAGGATTAAAGAGTACACTTATAGTGATGAGCACTGAGTAATGTATAGAAGTGTTGAATCATGGGCGCCTGGGTGGCTCAGTCAGTTAAGTGGCTGCCTTCAGCTCAGGTCATGATTCCAAGGTTCTGGGATCAAGTCCCATATCGGGCTCCCTGCTCAGCGGGGAGTCTGCTTCTCCCTCTCCTTCTCCCTCTGCCTCTCCCCCACTGCTCATGCTCTCTCTCTCTCAAATAAATAAAATCTTTAAAAAAAAATTGTTGAATCACTCTATTGTACACCTGAAACTATTGTAACACTGTATGTTAACTGTACCAGAATTAAAATTAAAAACTTAAAAAAAATAGATGCATAAGGTGAGATCTGTGAGTTTATGGCTTTCTGCCTGAGGGCCCTTCCTAATACCTTGAGCCAAGGGAGGAAAATTACAGCCTTATGAGTTCCAGGAAAAAGATGTTAGAATTCAAAGTAAGAGAAGCTGGAAGTTTAAATGGAAAATTTTGGGAGAAAGTCACAAAAGACTTGAGATCTAAAATATGACTGTAAACTCTGCTCAAATGAGTATTAAATTATGAAAGTGTATGGGAGACCCGAGGAAATCCAGCTAAACAGGCAAGCAGAAATTAGGTTGGGGTGTTGACGCTTGCAAGACAGAATTGTTTTTGGTGAGAGATCAAAGTTTCTTGTGCCTTTGACTAAATGCTTTCCCAAAATGTATAGAGCTCAAGCTCTGACAGCAGGAGCCCAACTTGGGACTGGAAAAACAACTAGAAATCTAGGGGGAACCCACAAAGCAAGAAAACCACTAAGCAGGTAAGCTCCCAAATCCGAATATAAAGTCTGTCCAAAACCTTGCCTGACTACTATAACTACACAGGCTGGATGACCCTGGGGATCAGGCTAAAACAGGAGCAGTTAGCAGCCAAGAAAAACCTGGGCAGAGACATGAAGTAGACAGATTTTGCAGTTTGGGTCAGGCAAGTTAACTGCCTACTAGAACAAAAAACCCAACAATACTCAGAAGAACAAAATAGATTTCAGAATTGCACAGATAATCTACCAAAAGTTACAAGATGAAGAAACTGAAAAGTATGAACCACTCAGAAAAGAAACAGTCAATAGAAACTGATTCTGAGAGAGCTTATATACTGGATTTAGCTCATAATGATCTCAAAACAACCATTATAAGTATGTTGAAAGGGAAAAGGGTGTTATTAAATAAACACATACAAAATCTCAACAAAGATATAGAAACTATAAAAGAAGAACCAAGTGGAAATTCTAGAACTGAAAAGCACAATAATCGAAATATTTAGTAGAGGGGCTTAAAAGAAAGTCTGAAATGGTAGGAGAATATATCAGTGAAATGTGAAGTTAAGCATTAGAAATTCTCCAATCCAAAAAACATAGAGAAGAATGAAGAAAAAGAAACAAAACTTCAGAAACCTATGGGACAACATCAAAAGGTCTAACATACACGTGTTGAAGTTCCAGAAGGTAAGTGAGAGAAAGGGACAGAAAAAGTACTTAAAGGAATAATGACTGTAAGCTCCCCAAATTTTGTTTAAAACATTAATTTACAGATCCAAGAAGCTCAACAAAGACCAAGTAAGATAGCCATTAAGGAAACCACACTTAGACATATCATAGGCTTCTGAAAGTAAAAAATAAAATCTTGAAAGAATCAAGATATAAAGGGCACATTACATACAGGGGAACAATTATATCAATGATTGACTTCTCATCAGAAAAAATAGAGGCCAGAAGATATTGGAATGAAACACAAACTGCTAAAAGAAAAAAAGTAATTGTTAAACAGGAATCCATACTGAAGAAAACTGTACTTAAAAAACAAAAGTGAGGGGTGCCTGGCTGGCTCAGAGCAGATGACTCTTGATCTTGGGGTTGTGGGTTCAGGCCCCATGTTGGGTGCAGAGATTACTTAAGAATAAAATCTTTAAAAAAAGGGTGAAATAAAGACATTTTCAGATAAATAAAAATGAAAGAATTTATTGCTAGACTACCTGCACTATAGAAAATAAAAGTTCTTCAGAATAAAAGAAAATAACATCACATGGTAACTCAGATATAAAAAAATAGTAAATATGTAGATATATATAAAAGACTAAATGTATATATTTTTCTTTTTTCTCCTACATTCTTTGGATGACATACCACTGTTTAAAACAAAAATCATAACCCTAACATAATTATATATAATATATATAGACATATAACAATAGCACAAAGAAGGGGAAGCTAAGGAAACTATATTATTTTAAGGTTATATTTTACCTCAAGTAATTCTTATTAGCTTTAAGTAGATTGTGATAGGTTAAAGATCATGTTGTAATCCTTAGAACAATCAAATGCAAAGAAATATAACTAAAAAGCCAGTAAAATAATTTAAAAGATATACTAAAATTATTTTCTTAGCACAAAAAAAAGCAGGAAAGGAGAAATAAGAGAAGCAAAAACATCTGAGACAATTAGAAAGTGAACAGCAAAATGGCAGAACTAGGGGCACTTGGGTGGCTCAGTCAGTTGAGCATCCCACTCTTGATCTCAGCTCAGGTCTTGGTCTTGGGGTTATGAGTTCAAGTCCCGTGTTAGGCTCCAATCTGGACATGGAGCCTACTTAAAATTAAAAAAAAAAAAAAAAAATGGCAGAACTAATACAACCATATCATTAAACACATTAAATATAAATAAAATAAATGCTCCAATCAAAAGGTGAAGATTGTCAAACTGGAAAAAAAAAGCAGTTTCCAACAACATGCCACCTACAAGATACAGACTTTAAATCAGAAAACACAAAGAGGTTAAAAATAAAAGGATAGCAAAAAGATATGCCATTCAAATAGTAAACAAATCTACAGTGATTATATTAACACCAAACAAAATAGACTTCAAGACAAGCAATTTTACTGTAGACAAAGAGGAATACATCATAATGTTAAAAGAGTCAATACACTATAAATGCATGCCTAATCACAAAGCTCTAATGTACACAAAGTAAAAACTAGTAGACTTAAAAGGAAAAGTATGTAAATTAATTATAGCTGGAGATTTCAACACTCTCTTTTACTAATCAATGGAACAAGAAGTCAGAAATGAGGGGCGCCTGGGTGGCTCAGTCGTTAAGTGTCTGCCTTCGGCTCAGGTCATGATCCCAGAGTCCTGGGATCGAGCCCCATATTGGGCTCCCCACTCTGTGGGAAGCCTGCTTCTCCCTCTCCCACTCCCTCTGCTTGTGTTCCCTCTCTCGCTGTGTCTCTCTCTGTCAAATAAATAAATAAAATCTTAAAAAAAAAAAAAAAGAAGTCAGAAATGAGCAGTCAGAAAATGAGCACGATTACAGAAGATTTGTAACAGACAACCAAACCAACCTGTCTTGACATTTATAGACCACTCCACCAATAACAGAATTCATATTCTTTTCATTCACATCTGGAACACGTGTCAATAAAATGTAAGGGATGAAACCACATTGAGTATGTTCTCTGACCATTATGGGATTAAATTAGAAACCTGTAACTGAAAAGTATCTGGACAATCTGAAAATTTTTGGAAATTACACAACATACTACTAAATAACACATGGGTCAAATAAAAAAACCATAAGGGGAATTAGAAAATATTCTGTGTTGAATATAAATGAAAACAAGACATGCAAAGTCTTCGGAAATAGTTAAAGTGGTGCTGAGAGCAAATCTTATAACTTTAAATGTTTATATTAGAAAAGAAGAAAAATAAAAAACCAATGATTTAAGTTCCTTAAGAAGCTGAAAAAGAAAAAAAAGGAAATTAAGTCAAAGTAATTACAAGGAAGGAAATACTAAATATGAGTGAAAATCAATGAAATATAAAACAAACTGCAGAAGAAGTCAATAAAATCAAAAGCTCATTCCTTGAAAAGATCAATAAAATAAACCTCTAGCTAAACTGATCAAGAAAAAAGTGATGAAACACAAATCACCAATATCATCAATGAAAGAGGGACATCACTACAGATCCTTCAGACAGAAAAGGATAAGAAAACACCATAAGCAACTTTATGCCAATAAATTTGACAACTTGGATAAGATGGAGAAATTCCTTGAAAGACATAAGTTATCAAACAGATTCAAGAAGAAATAAAAGACTTGAATAGTACAATATTACAGCTACTAAAATCATAATTAAAAACCTTCTCATAATGAAAACTCTAGGCCCAGATGACTTCACTGCTGAATTTTATCATATATTTAAGGGAGAAATAATACAAATAGCACACAAGTTCTTTCAGAAAAGAGAAGTGAGGGGAACACTGTCCAACTCATTTTACAAGATCAGTATTATTCTGGTAACCAAACTTGAAGACATCACAGAAAACTAAAAACAACTAATATCGCTCATAAACACAAACAATCCTTTTTTTTTTAAAGATTTTATTTATTTATTTGACAGAGAAAGACACAGCGAGAGAGGGAACACAAACGGGGAGTGGGAGAGGGAGAAGCAGACTCCCTGCCGAGCAGGGAGCCCGATGCGGGACTCGATCCAGGGACTCCAGGATCATGACCTGAGCCGAAGGCAGTCTCTTAACCAACTGAGCCACCCAGGCGCCCAACACAAACAATCCTTAACAAAATACCAGCAAGTCGAATTACATTAATATATAAAAAAACAAATACCTCATAACCAACTGGAGTTTACCTTAGAAGACTGGTATAACACTTGAAAAACCAATGTAATTCATCATACTGATATATGGAGAAAACCTAGATCATCATCTCAATAGATGGAGAAAAAGTATTTGACAAAATTCAATACCCATTCACTATAATTCAGCAAATTAGAAACAGAAAAAAACTTTTTCAACCTGAGAAAGGGCATTTATGAGAAACTGAGAAACCAACCACTAACATTACATGCTTAATGGATAAAGACTGAATGCTTTCCCCCTAAGATAGGAACAAGGTAAGGATGTCTGTTCTCACCACTTCTATTGAACATGAGGTCCTAACCAGTGCAAAAAGGCAAGACAAAGAAATACAAGGCATACGTATTGGAAAGGAATCTAATAAGAAAAATTAAGTGAAATTAGCAAGGACACAGAAAAAAGGTCATTTGGAGCAACTGAAAAATTTTCCAACTGAAAAACTGGACAATTTTTAAAAACCTACTTTCATTTGTAACAGAATAAAAAAAGCACTTAGGAATAAATTTAATAAAAGATGTTTAATATCTGCATACTGAAACTATAAAATATTATTGAGAGACATTAAAGAATTAAATAAATGGAGAAACATTCCATATTCATGGATTGGAAGACTTGCCATTGTAAAAAAAAAAAAAAAGTTATTCTCTCCAAATTGATATATGGGTTCAACACAATCCCAATAAAAATTCCAACAGTATTTTTGTAGAAATAGTGACCTTTACTTTAAATGTATAAGAAATGCAAAGCACCTAGAAATACCAAAGTAATCTAAAACAAAAGAACAATTTTGAAGGACATACATCACCAGATTTCAAGAATCACTAAAAACTACAAAAATTAAGACTATGGTATTGATATACTGATGTAAAACAGACATAAGAATCAATGAAAGAGAACAAAGAGTTTAAAAATAGATCCACATGTAAATGATCAGTTGATTTTTAAATAAAGGTGTCAAGGTAATCCAAAGGGGAAAGAGCATTCTTTTCAACAAATCATTCTGGGAAAACTGGCTATGCCTAAAGGAAAACAAAGGGAAGCTCAACCCTTAACTCATACCATATACAAAAATTAACCTGGAAGGATCACAGACTTAAGTACAAAAGTTAAAATCATACAAGTTCTAGAAGAAAACAACAGAAAATCTTTGTGACCTTGGGGTAAGCAAAGATTTCTGTTATTAAAGCATGAAACATAAAAGAAAATTAAAACATTAGAGTTTGTGAAGTTAAAAACTTTGGCTCTTGTTCAAAAGACATCACTAATAAAATTAAAAGGCAAGTCATAAACTGGGGACAGCTATTTGCAAAACATATTGACTTGTATCCAAAATATATATAAAGAATGCTTATAATTCAATAATAAGGCAAACAATCCAACTAAAAAATAGAAGATAATTTAAACAAACACTTCATGAAAAAGATATATAAATGGCCAATTAGCACATGAGAAGATGCCTAGAACTATATATCCACTAGAATGGCTAAAGTTAAAAAAAGTAATTAATACCAAGTATTGGTAGAAACGTGTAGCAACTGGAACTCTCATACATTGCTGGTGAGATGCAAAATGGTACACTTTGCAAAACAGTATGGCAGTTTCTTATAAAGTTAAACATACACTTACCAAAAGACCCAGCAATTCCACTCCTAGGTATCTACCCAAGAAAAATGAAAACATATGTCCACACAGACTTGTATGCAAATGTTCACGGCAACATTATTCATCATAACCAAGAACTGGAACAACCCAAATGTCCATGAAATGGTGAATGGAAAAACAAATTATGGTATATTCATACAATGGAATACTACTGTGCAATAAAAAGGAACCACTGACATACACAACAATATAAATGAATCTCAAAAACATCACACTAAGTGAAAGAAGCCACACACAAAAGACCACCCATGATTCCATTTACATGAGACCTTGGAAAAGGTAAACCACTGTGACAAAAGCAGATTGGTGGTTACCTGGGGGTGGGATTGGGGAAAGGGAACTGAGTGTAAAGGGGCAGGAGATAATTTTTTGGAGGTTCTAGGTCTTGATTTTGGTGGTGGTTACCCAAATGCATGCCAAAACTCATCAATATGTACACTTAAAAATGGGTGAATTTTATTACATATAAATTCTACTTCAATCAACTGTGGGAAAAAACCTCACACAAAACATAGTAGCATTTTCTCCTTGACTAATTATAATTTAAAAATAACTGATAACTAGTTTTTTAATAAGAGGATTCGACACATGAAGAAAAATTATGTAAAACTTGGAAAAAAGACAAAGGGAGGGTTGTATGTCCTTTTAGTGTCATATTGGAGGACTGCTTAAAAGGCCCATGTAAGAAATTATTTAATTTTCAAAGAAAATATCCTTGTATCTGACTTCCCTATCCACTGTTGATTGAAGGCCCAGATGCTGTGAAGTTTTATGTTAACTTGGAGATTTTTGTGTCTAATAGAAATGCAAATGATTTCTGTTTAGAAGAAAAGATAACCTCAAAGGTGATCGGTTTACTGCCTTATAGGACATCAATTAGTTTTGAATCTAACTTGCAATCCTCTTTAACATTCTTTTTCAAATGCCTATAAATATCCAAGTCTTCAAATGCTCTTTGAACAAATTTTTCCTATTTCTCTCACTAAAGAGTTCAAAAATTTTGTCATAAGTTTCTTCTGTAGCTGTATAAAATCATGTTTTTAATTTTTTAAGAATCATACTCTGACTACTATTGTATAATGCTTCATTTGAGTGTCACTTCAAATCATCTCAGGCACACACTAATGTTAAGTTATCCATTTTGAGAAACCTATTAGGTTACACCTGAAATGAAAATGTGGAGTATTATTTCTCAGTACACTGCACTTTTTAAAATAACTGTGATTATTCTCTGTTAGTGCCAGGATTAGGGAGTCTTGATGGAGCCTCCTTTATTTTTTTTCCCATGTTGTAGCCTACCATATAGACTTACAAAGCTAACTCCTCACCCCTTGCATTAAAGCCTGCAGAATGCTACCCCTTCATAAAAGTGAGACTTGATTTTATCTTAGAAATCAGTACTTTGTTTCTTGGATATTTCTTCTTCATCTCCAACTTCATCTTCAGTGACCTCAGATCCAGTGGTATATTCTTCTTCTTCTGAAAATAACGATTGTTGTTTCTGAATTAAAAAAAAAAAATACCCTTTTAAAAAAAACATAGTATTAACATATCTCTCATGGATTCTTTCAAACACATTTATCTAAATTTATTTTGGATGAATGAGTCAAACAAGATCTGATAAAATGACCAATGCCTAGTACAACACTGAGGAAATGGACATAAGAATTTCTGTTAGGGACACCTGGGTGGCTCAGTCATTAAGCGTCTGCCTTCGGCTTGGGTCGTGATTCCAGGGTCCTGGGATCGAGCCCTGCATCGGCTCCCTGCTCGGTGGGAAGCCTGCTTCTCCCTCTCCCACTCCCCCTGCTTGTGTTCCCTCTCTCACTGTGTCTCTCTCTGTTAAATAAATAAATAAAATCTTAAAAAAAAAAAAAAAAAGAATTTCTATGTTTAGGACAGGATCGCATTACATTAAACATTTTTAAATTATTTCCTTCACATATTCTAGCAGAGTGATGGGCACATAATAAGTCCTCAGCATTTGTCAAACTGCACCTTCTATCACTCAACTGAATGTATGTTCCTCGATATTAAGATTAAATTAAAATATAATAATTGCCATTATTAAAGTAGTCTCATAAGCAAGGACAGGTACACATTCCCTGGATAAATGTGATCCTAGATTACTCAACCACAGCTGCATCAGCTTCCTGCATCTACCTACCCACCCTGCTTTTTGCCATCACTGATCCAAATTCCAGTGCCATTCTTGCGAATATTGGTGGCAGATGGCAGAGTAATGGCAAATAGGTAAAAGGAAAAAAAAGAAATCAACCATCCAGTCAAACAACCAAATGCCTGGAATGAATAGATTTGTTGCTTTGTTCTATGTCCTAATGTGACTTAAAAATGACTTTTAGAAGTTGTTAGGGACACCTAAGGAGTACACAACAAGATAATGGATTATATGTCTGTTTTAAACAATGGCATTTTCAGTAAGTGCAAAATTATAGAAGCTGAAAAGGATAACACAAACAGGGGGAGTGGAGAGGGAGAAGCAGGCCTCTCGCTGAGCAGGGAGCCGGATGCGGGACTTGATCCCAGGATACTGGGATCATGACCTGAGCCCAAGGCAGACACTTAACAACTGAGTCACCCAGGCGCCCTCTGAAAAGGATAACTGCACTGAATTAAAATCTGTAAAATAAGATATTGATAAGATTCTATTAAACTAAACTTTAGTTGTGGAAGAAAGAGATCCATGAAAGTGGAATATAGTTGCTTACTTACCAGTTGCAGAGTCCAGTTTTTCAGTGACAAAAACTATAAGAAAGACAAAGGAATCAGAGATTAATAAATCTCCATCTACCCAGACTGCAGCTCCTTATGTTCATGTGGAGACTGCGGAAGAGTTGAAAAACCCTGCAAGTATAGCTCCTTTCCAGGTTGCAACGTAACTTAAAATTCAGGTTGAAAATGATGTATTACAAATATTTGCTGCCTAGAGAAAGATGCGTATGTTTACAAAAAAAAAAAAAGAAGAAGAAAGAAAATCAACACATCCCAGTGTTATTTCCAAAGGATAAGCAAATCACATGTAGAGATAATATAACTTATTTTTTGAACTATTTCAATCACTTTTTTTAAAGATTTATTTATTTGTTTGAGAGAAAGAGCACAAGCAGAGGGAGAGAGAATCTTAAGCAGACTCCATGCAGAGCATGACGCGGGGCTCCATCTCATGACTCCTAGATCATGACCTGAGCTAAACCAAGAGTTGGATACTTAACTGACTAGGCCACCCTAGTGACCCTTCAATTACTTTTTAATGTTTATATTTTACTATAAATTAAGGAACCAGATATTCAAGAAATCTAATTTGCTATTTTGTATATAATTCATAAATGAATGTTAATGATTGAATTATTTGTAGCCATTTGGAGTTTACAATGCATTTTACATGGAATATTTCACTTTGTCAAGTAAATGCTACTTCAGCCAATACAAAGCCAGGAAGTTCATAGGCAAGTGGCGATTCTCTGGTTGTCAGTAACAGGAATCAAAGGAATCAAAGCTATCTGGACATCTGAGAAATAATTGTTTTGAAACCTTGCAAAAACTAAACACATTCCTGATTACAATTAAAAAAAAAAAAGAATTTCGTACCAAAAAATTTTTATAGAATTAGGAGAGGACAAAATATCCCATTCATACTATCTTTAATCCTCAAATCAGTACTTGTCCATAATAAAACCTCTGAAGACCATGTTATATTTTTTCCCCAAATTTAAGTTGATTAGTTATTAGTTGAGGGCAAGGAATATGTCCTATTACCTTTGCAGTCCTACTAACTCAGCATAATACCTTGTTGTTATGATCAGATAGTCAGTAAATGCTTATTAACTGAAAATTTCAGTTTTGGTTCAAACCAATTATATTTCTGTCAAAGATTAAATGTCATCAATTGTTTATATCAATAAAGAATAAGTGAAACAAGCTACTCACAGCATTGAGCTCCCCACTTTTGGGGCCCCATGGTGTATTTGGCTCCAGTAAAACATCACAATCTAGACCCTTTTCATCACAGGGACCAACCTCAGAATCACTTGAAGGAAAAAGACATGTTATGGAGAAATGTTCAATTTCATAAGAAATTAAATGCAAATGATATCTTTTTCTATTGGAAATATTTTATAAATTGCTCTTTAGAAACACAGTTCTTGAGTATAAGGTATGCCATCTCAACATTTACATTTCTTAATTCATCTAGTGATTCCCCTAGCAGAAGACACTCCATATAGGGGTGCACCACGGCACTCCAAGCATCACACTTGCCAGGTGGTGAAATGGGTTGCTATGACTGGTACTTCTGTGAGAACGGCCTTCATGAAAGGCTCCCCCAACCCCCAACCCCAGCCTGACAGCCTGCTGCAACTGCAAAATAACAGAAGTGACTTCAGAAATTACTAAACTCAAGGAGTTCAAATTTATGCAAAGATGACCTCAACCACTGACTTTTTTTTCCTAGTTGTATCAATCAAGCATTCAAGAAGGGCTTAAGTAACCTGGGAAAAGAAAAAACCCTCAAAAAATGAATTGCAGGTCCGAACCTTTCAATCAAAGACTCCTTTTATTAGTTTTTCTTCCCCTTGGACCTCCAATATTTTGAAGTATTTTTCCTAACAAATAAATACCTGCTTGCTCTTAATGGGAGCTAACATATAATTTCAGGAAGCTTTCTGAAATAATGTAAACTATCTGGGGACTGACATTACTGATCTGGGGAAACACCAGGGAATGGAGGATTCTGAGATGGGAAGCATGAATAAAGCTGCAGCACAGCGTTATCCCCCCTGCCTCACCTAACTGTATCTTTAGAAAAAGGCACAACAATGACATCTTTGTGTTTGTGCAGATCGTCCAGTATTTTATCAGTTGGACAGGATGGCAAATCTCCACCTTCACCTTGATCATGAAGAGCAACAACGTGGTCCTTCACTTTACAGCCCTGTGTTGTAAGAGACACCAAATTAGAGAGGTTGGTTTGTTATAGAAATATTCCTGTAAAGATGATTTTATATTTTTGTTCTTCTTTGCCCAGCCATATCATCATATCAACCATTTTACAACTTTTTCTCAAGAAAAAAATAATACAGTTGATTCTTGAACAACATGGGGCTTAGGGGTGCTGATCCCCTGCAGTCAAAAATCTGCATAACTTTTTTTTTTTTAAGATTTTATTCATTTATTTTAGAGGGAGAAAGAGAGCGTGTGCATGTATGCATGCGAGCAGGAGGAGGGGCAGAGGGAGAGAGAGAATCTCAAGCAGACTCCACACTGAGCACAGAGCCCGATCTCATGACCCTGAGACCAAGACCTGAGCCAAAACCAAGAGCCAGATGCTTAACCGACTGAGCCACGCAGGTGCCCCTTGTCATTTTTTAGTTTATAATTCCCTACCAAAAATTTCCAAGCTTGGCTTCTATCAACTTAAACTAGTAATCTTATTTCTTTTAGAGCCTGTGTCAATAATTCCAGTATTTATAGTTTCTGTGGTTTGTTTTTGTGGCATAAATTCTGCTATTCCCCTTCATGGTAACCTACTTTCATCTATGTCAAGTTATCTTTGTATGCTGAATATTTTATTTAAAAAATTGTTTGTAGAAATAATTTGAGGTATAGAATAATGTTACTTTCCTCCAAAGAGAATTTTTACTGCTTTTGCCAGGTGCCTGGGAACAATAGCAATCCAAGATGACCTTAAACCAAGTTCAGGACTTGAAATTTCCTAGGCCATGCAACTGAATCGAAGCCAGTTGCTGGCTGGTTGCTATCCAGGCAAGTAATAGTTTATTTCTGATTTAATCTTATTTTCTTTGGATCCCAACGAAAAGTGTAAGGGTGGGAATGTTATTCATTTCTATCTCCATCCTCCAGACCTTGGACCCTGACTATTACCCAAAATTCTGATAGGGCACCTAAAGATCAGCCCAGCCTCTTAGCCACTTTTTCCAGACTGGAATTTGCTCCCTGGACAAAAATGGCCCTGAGTGCTGGCTCCCTTAGATTTCTATCATTTCCTGTACCTTAACACTACTTCCTCATTATCTTATTAGCTCTTTGATGCTTTTAATATAATCTTTATATTTCATTCACCTTTATTAGTTGCCTTTTGATGGGAGAAATGGTCTGAATTACTTGGTCTGCCATTAATAGAAATATAAATCACCATACGAACTATTTAGATTTCACTTAGCCTAAGAAATCACCTCAACAATATCCATGATGTCACATACAAGATTTATCATACAGTTTAATTACCATTTATTCCTCAACTGTCTCATGATGAATGGAATATAAGGGGTTAATACAACTAGTAAATAGACAATAACAAGACAAAGAGTTACAACTTTTAGAAGTATTATTTACAACAATGTGAATGTGATAGTTAAAACAGAAACATCATAACCACAAAGAAATGCAATGACTAAAAATCCTATTACTGCAAAATATAACATAACTGTGAATTAATAAACATCTTGGGCCTATCAAAGCTAAGCTATTCCATTTTGCTTAAAGTGTCATACCCTATTTAAATTGCTTTGTATGCAAAGCATCTACCTAACATTAAATACAAACATTATGTGGGTAACATATTACCTCACCAATAAAATTTCTGACTAATCAAAGTTGGTGATTAATTGCAAATATAACAAACTACCTTCCAGCTAAAATCCCATGATACACCATTTCAGTAACATTCATGCTAATACCCCAAATTCCTTGGTCCTAAATCTCATCATACCCATCTGGTAAAACCCCAAACTGGATGAGCTTAATGACCCATTGTCTCCATGTTTGCATTCAAGCAGCTTAGCGCTACTGGAGAGAGTGACATAAAAGGCATGTTGGATTTCATTGTAAATTTATGATTACCAATCTCCAATGGGCTCTCAAATTGCTTAGTAACCGACAAGCTTTCTCTGGAAAATTCACTCTCATGTTTTCCAAAAAGACTATTTCAAACCTTCGATACTTCCTTCAAATCTTAGAACCTTCCCTCTTCCCCCTCATTCTTAGCAGATGGCTTTTCCTCCTACTTTATAGAGAAGAAAGGCATTAGGAAAAATGTATCTAAATGATAAAAACACAATTTTACTAATAACTGCAACCATCCTACTCTTTCTCTACTGTTACAACAGAGGCACTGCCCTTCCTCTTGTCTAAACTAATATTGCCTCATAACCTTATACCATCAACCTCTCCTCAACTAGATCCTTCCCACAGACGTTAAAAAAAGATCTCTAATATTTAAACAAAACAAAGCAGAAACAATAACCAAATACCTACAATGTAATTACTGACTTACCCTCTCCCTTTCTCAAATTTCCCAAAAGAGCTGCTATTCACACTGTCCACATTTGTTTCTCTTCCACTCACTCCCTCCACAACCCATACCAATCCGGCTTTGGGATCTAGCACTTCACCAAAACAGATCTTCACACATGAATTCCAGATTACCAAAGTTAAAGGACACATTTCTTTCCTTATTTTTATCTGACCTCTTGGCAGTATTTGGCATCATGGACCACTTTCTCTTTCTTCAAATACTACTCCTTTGATTTTCATGACAACATCCTTGGTTTTCCTCCTATTATTCCTGCTGCTCCTGATCATTGTCTTTTGCAGGCTCATGCTTTGCTATCCAGCCATTAAATTCTGGGAGTTTCTCTAGGCTCCCCTATAGGCTCTCTGATTTTCTTATGCTCACCTATACCTGCTGGTTTCAATTCTTACTTATTTGCAAGAAGACTTAAAATTATCACCTCTAGGTAGCCAATTCTCTGTGCCCCAAAACATTCTTTGCCTGGTTGTCTTCTAAAACACCTCAATCTCAAAATGTCCAAAACAGAACTCATGAGCTTCTCTCCAAACCCAATTCCCTTCTTGTTTCCTTCGTAGACAGCACTACCACTATCCAGTACCATAAGCAAGAAACGGAGTTATCCTGGACTTCTTCCTCTGTGATAGAATCCATCAAGCCGTTTCAGGTTTACCTCCTAAATACTAAATTCATTTCTACAACCTTAGGCCAAGCTATCATCCTAAGACTATGCAGTAACTCCTCTCATACCTGACTATACTTCATACTCCCAAGCCATTCTCCACACTGCAACTGATCTTCAAAACCCAAAATAAAGAAAAAACATGGCCTACAAGGTCCTACCCCCGCATGGCGCAACACCTATCTACCTCACCAGCCTTTCCTTAAACTACGTGTGTTTTCTCTAACAGGCAGTTTTCTTCAGCCTCTCTCATTCACTGTATTCCTTTTGGCCTTGGTATTCGGAGAGAAGTGCTCTTTCCCTCCTCTTTGCCTCACATACTCATACCCACCCTTCAGATTTCAACCGAATGCCAACTCCTTGACTTCAATGCCCAGGTCAGAGCAGCTAATCTATTATAGACATTTATGGCCCTGCATACTTCTTCAAACATTTCTTTGCATGCTTCCCCCCCGCCCCTTTTGATACTACTGCATGAACTATAAGCTCCACGAAGGGAGGAACTATCTAATTTTACCGAAATTAGATTATTCTCTGCCTTGCACAGTGTGCGACACAGCTGTGGTGCTTTATAGATAATTGCTGTATGGATGAGGAGGAGGGAGAGCTTTAGGTTCTTTCTCTCCACTGATGAAATTTAATTACATAACATTTTCAAAAGTGTTAGTGATCAAGGACCCTAACCTACAGCAATACTCACATATTGTACCAAGATATATGTGCAAGGACATTCATTACAAGACCATAATACCATCAATCTGGAAACAACCTAAATGTTCATTGATAGGAAGATGGTTAAATAAATTGTGATATATGCACAGCTTAAGATATTACACAGCAATAAAGAAATGACAGAAAGATAACCTAGGTATATTGTTGATTGAAAAGGGCAAGTTACAGAAAAATATGAACAGTATGATCCTTTTTCCAATATAAAAAATTGCATAAATTTGTGCCTGAAATGTATAAAACAGGGGCGCCTAGGTGGCTCAGTCAGTTAAACATCTGCCTTGGGCTTAGGTCATGATCTCAGGGTCATGGGATCGAGCCCCACATAGGCTCCCTGCTCAGTGAGGAGCCTGCTTCTCCCTCTCACTCTGCCTGTTCCCCCTGCTTGTGCTCTCTCTCTCTCTCTCAAATAAATAAATAAAATCTTAAGGAAAAAAGAGAAGGGAAGAAAATATTTTTTTAAAAAATGAAATGTGTAAAACAAAGTCTAAAAGGAAACCGTTAACTGCCTCTGAGAAAAGATGCAGAACAAGGGAGTGGTGTAAAGATGGACTTCTACTTTTAACTATACTTATTTTTGTATTGTTTGAAGTCTTTCCTATATGAATGTATAACCTTTATGCTTTAAAAACAATAAAAGGGGAAAAGATTAAATAAGTGTTAGTGAGCACTGTAACTACAAAAGGGCAGCATCCAAAATTTACCTTTGCAGGGGCACCTGGCTGACTCAGTTGGTGGATCATGAGACTCTTGATCTTGAGGTTGTAAGTTCAAGCCCCAGGTTGGGTGTAGAGATTACTTAAAAAAATAAAATCTTTTTTTTTTTAAATAAAATCTTTAAAACAAACAAACAACAACAACAAACAAAATTTACCTTTGTAAGCTGAGTGGGATCAAACCGAAGAACCTTTTGGTTACAGCAGGGATAAATACCAGTGCCAACAGTACTCAGTGAACTTGCTGCAGTAGGATAAACCACTGTTTCTGAATGATATTGACAGTGTGAAAATTCTATACAGAGAAAAGCCTGAATAAAAGAAATATATAAAATCAATTATTATTCCCACAATGAAATTATACATCCCAAAAAACATCACTCAGGACTACAGAATGTATGTTCCATTTATTTTTTAAAAATTTTAAAAAAGATTTTATTTATTTATTTGAGAGAGCGAGAGAGAGCATGAGGGGAAGGAGTGGAGGGAGAGGATTTTTTTTTTCCACTGAAAAAATAGATTTGGTCACTTAAAACCTGTTGATTTTCTAAGAATTAGGCAAGGCATGATTGTTTCAGCAATGAAAATAAAAAGGAGGATGAAGATAGTAAGAGAAACAAAACCAGATGCAAGCAATGTTTCATAGTCCCATTGTTTTTGCCACTAGTTTCTTTAAAAAGATGTAAGATATTGTCCAAACACATCCAAACATACTAATTAAACAGCATATATTAAAAGAGCCTGCTATGCTGAGCATCTGGCTGGCTCAGTTGGTACAGCATGTAACGCTTGATCTCGGGGTTGAGTTCGAGCCCCACATTGGATGTAGAGATTACTTAAAAATAAAATTTTAAGAAAAAAAGGGTCTGCTATGAATGTTTGCAGAGCAAGATATTAAAAAGAAAAAGAAAAAAAAAAACTCACCTGATAACATCTTGAACAAGTTAGCCAGTTGACTGTTCCCCACAAGCGCCAATATACATCTCTCCAAGATTTTAATTCTTCAAAAAGACTATTCAAATATTCATGAACATCCCAAGTCTTATCCCTGGGGAAAAGAGCCTCAAATATTATATTATTTTACAAGCAAGTAATATAAACAATTTGTTTTAGGCAAATGTTTTTAAATTTGTGGCTTATTTCCAAAAACATTCCCCAAATGATAGCTATGGGATGGACTACATGGAACAGTAGAAAAAATTTCATTTGGGAGTTTGTTTATTCTCTTTTTCTGTGGACAACAGAAAAAGATATGAAAGATTGAATGTCAAATTATTTTGCTAAACTAAATTATTTTGCTAAGCTATTTTAAATATGGTTTGAGCAGGCTAACAGTTGGGATGATGATGCTAAACAGAACCTTTATTCTAGGTTACTAATCATTGGTGATTCTAAACATTTCTTTATATTATTTTCAAAAGGCATTCTCAAGTAATTGAGTAATACAGTAATATATAATCAGGTCTTGGTAACACATATTTTGAAGTTAATATAAACTTAAAAAATAGCAAAGGCTTAAAACCCTATTTGCTATGTTCATATGCAACTCAAGTTCCTATTTTTTTCCAAGTCCCTTAATCATTTGAACTTTTGCTACCTTGTCCTTATTCAACAAATAACAAAATGTCATGACATTATTACAAACTACATAGGCACATCTGTTTTAATTAAAGACAACTGAAAAAATGTCATCAATATCTGACCTACAGGAAAATACTTTAAATAAAACAACAAAAATGGATGTTGAAGGCAATTATCAAATTTTTTCACTTAGTTAATAGTTATTGCTGTCAGAATGGAAGTGCTTTCCAAAAGGTGAAATCAAGTCTCAAGACAAAAACATATAAAACCCCAGGTGCTTATAAGAACTAATGAAGATTCCCTTGATTATTGTATGAAGAGAAAAATGAAACATTTTAAACATGACGGTGAGGGGCACCTGGCTGGCTCAGTCAGAGGAGCATGTGACTCTTGATCTTAGGGTCATGAGTTTAAGCCCCATGTTGGGTGTAGAAATTACTAAAAAAATAAACGTAAAAAAATATTTTAAAAATAAGCATGACTGTGCTATTAATAATAGAGTCAAATGTGTTTCTTATGTTTTAATGTTTAAAATATGAAACTTAGGGCGCCTGGGTGGCTCAGTCGTTAAGCGTCTGCCTTCGGCTCAGGTCATGATCCCAGGATCCCGGGATCGAGTCCCACATCGGGCTCCCCGCTCGCGGGAAACCTGCTTCTCCCTCCCCTACTCCCCCTGCTTTGTTCCCTCTCTCGCTGTCTCTCTCTGTGTCAAATAAATAAATAAAATCTTTAAAAAAAATAAAAATAAAAAAATAAAAAATAAAATATGAAACTTAACATTTATACTGTTTTTTCCTTTAAAAACCACAAAAGTGCTGTACATTTTTAACAAAGAAAAAAAGGACAAACAAATTTAAAAGCATCCATAATACTATCACTTAAAGGTAACACCACAGTTTACATTTTAGTGAATGTTTCTAGTTTTATGACTTTTTTTTCACTTAATTCACCACTAACAACTTGCTACATAAGTATATATACTTCTACAACATTATTCTCAAAGGCTTGCACATTAAGAATTGATTAGGCATGTTTTATATGGATATACTACTACATGGATATATTTTAGTTCATTTAATCATTTGGATGTTTCCCCTTTTTTTCCTATCTAAACAATATAGCAATAAGTGTTCTTGTTGAATGCTTTCACAAATCTAACATTACCTCTTTGGATAAATTCCTAGCAGGAATTTATTTATTTATTTTTATTTTTATATTTTTAGAGAATATATACATTTCAGAATTTTTGCTTTTCTGAGATATTACACCAATTTACAATATTCTTCCCCCAACTGAGAATGAGAACTGGTTTTGAACTTAAAGGGGAATAAAAGAGGACTATATATTGATGGAATACTGACAAAGTATGAAGAATAAATAGATTATGGAATATCCAGTTTTAAAGACAATTTCCTCATTCACCAAAATTTACCTGAAAATAAATTTGATTCTCTGTCAAATTCAATATAACATTTTTATAAATAAAATCAGTTAGTGAAAAGAAATCATTTTAATGGCACTGACCAGAATATCTTTCAAGACTAATGCACAATAATTTTTACTATTTTAAAGTTTAAAAATATCATGAAATTTACTCAGTAAACAAAATACAGCTTTTACAAAACTTTGTTTTGAAAGCATCTTTCTAAGTCAAAGCTGGATCACATTCAGAAAAAAGTGTTATCCTATACCTTGTAAAACTAGTTATGTTTTTAGAAAAACACTATTAATTCACATTTAAAAACTGTGTTTTATTTTCACTGCACCTTATGTGAATGTAGATAATATTTCCATGTTGATCCACATTGATTTTTCCAGGAATGCAAGGAATTCTTCTTTCTGTTTCTTTTGTTAAAAGTTTCTTACACAAACAGCACCTATAGCACAAAGACACAAAAACATCCAAGAAGAAAATTTAAGATGTAGTAAAATTAAACAATTTAGCTGCATTGTATAGAATACCAAAAAAAAAACCACATCACTGTACCTGTATAACGTCGCCGCATTATTCCGGGAATCTGGGTTCAAGTACTCAGGATCAAAAAGTCTCTCAATCTTCTTACAAAAAAGTTTACTATTAACAACAAATGACCAACAAATTAATTTTCTATTATTTACATTACTAAAGTTCCTTGATAGTGATGAAAATAAACGCTGACCTATCTGCGTATGTAGAAAATAAAATTAATAAATCCTTGGAGAGACTCTCTTTGGGAATTTATGATATATTTATAGTGTTCTAAGTAAATAAACCTACTAATGATAAATGCTTAATCAAGAATGTATTTTCACAAGAATATTTTTTTGGAATATTCAATATTGAGGAACTTGAAAACATAACAATCCTGGGTCTACCAATAACTTGGTATATGATCTTTGGCAACTACTTAACCTCTCTTAACCTTGTTTTCTCATCTATAAAATGGGGTTAATAATTCCAAACTCACAAGGTTTTATGAGGATTAAATGAATAGGGTTATAAAGAGTGCCAGATACAGCATTAAGCATTTGACATATATTAATAAAAACTTTATTATAATGCACAATGTGACTAAACTTTAAGTCTTATGTCATTAAATCAACTGTATATCCTGAGGCCAGATCTGGATTTAGGATATTAACCCCATTTTCAAGTATATACCAAAAAAATATTATAAAGCCACTGGAATTAAGACAGTGTACGACTGATACAAGTATAGAGAAAGAAATCAACAGAAGTGGACAGCTACATCCAGAAGAATGAAACTGGATCACTTTCTCATACCATACACACACAAAAAACCTCAAAATAGATTAAAAATCTAAATGTGAGAGCTGATACCATAAAACTCATAGAAGAAAACATAGGCAGCATAATTTCTTTGATATCGACCTTTGCAACTTTCTTATAGATACATCTCCTTAGGCAAGGGAAACAAAAGCACAAATAAACTATTGGGACTACATAGAAATATAAAGCTTTTGCACAGCAAGGAAACCATTAACAAAACAAAAAGGTAACCTATGGAATGGGAGAAGATATTAGCAAATGACATATCCAGTATGGGGTTAATATCCAAAATATGTAAAGAACTTATTAAATTCAATACCAAAAAAACCCAGACCAATTAAAAAATGAGCAGAGGACCTGAATAGACACTTTTCCAAAGAAGACATCCAAATGGCCAACAGACATATGAAAAGATGCTCAACATCACTAATCATCAGGGAAATGCAAATCAAAACCAAAATGAGATATCACCTTACAAGTGTGCGAATGGTTAGACTAAAAAAGACAAGAAGTGACAAGTGACAGCAAGGATGTGGAGAAAAAGGAACCCTTGTGCACTGTTGGTGGGAATGTAAATTGGTGCAGCCACTGTGGAAAACAGATGGAGGTTCCTCAAAAGATTGAAAATAGAACCACCATATGATCCAGTAATTCCACTACTGGGTATTTACTAAAAAAGAAAGAAAAGAAAGGAAAGAAAGAAGGAAAGGAAGAAAGGAAGAAAGGAAGAAAGGAAGAAAGGAAGAAAGGAAGAAAGAAAGAAAGAAAGAAAGAAAGAAAGAAAGAAAGAAAGAAAGAAAGAAAGAAAGAAAGAAAAACATTAATTTGAAAACAGATATGCACCCCTATGTTTATTATAACATTATTTACAATAGCCAAGATATGGAAACAACCTAGGTGTGCACTGATAGATGAATGGATAAAAAAGATATGGTATATGTATATACATAATGGAATATTACTTAGCCATAAAAAGGATGAGATCTTGCCATTTGTGACAACATAGATGGACCCAGAGGGCATTATGCTAAGTGAAATAGAGAAAAACCAATACCATATGATTTCACTTATATGTGGAATCTAAAAAACAAATGAATAAACAAACAAACAAAAAGCAGAATCAGAGCTATAAATACAGAGAACAAACTGATGGCTGCCAGAGGGGAGGGAGGTAGGGGAATGGACAAAATGGGTGAAGGAGAGTATGAAATACAGTCTTCCAGTTATGGAATGTGTAAGCCATGGGATTAAAGGCACAGCACAGGGCATATAGTCAAAGGTACTGTAAAGGGCATTATAGGGTGACAGATGGTAGCTACATTTGTGGTGAGCATAGCTTAATGCACAGAGTTGTCAAATCACTATGTTGTACACTTGAAACTAATGTAACATTGTGTGTCAACTATATTTCAATTTTAAAAAAAGAATAAGAAATCAACAGAACAAAATGGAGAGTTCTGAAAGACATCTTCCATATAGTCACCTGATTTATAGTGAAGGTGCCACTGCAATTCAGTGGAGAAAGAATGGTCTTGCAAGGAAATCTCACCCAGTTCCATAGTTTCAAATCTATCTACTCTTGTATTTCTATTTTAAGCTCTGACCTCTGACCTAAATTTCAGACTTTTAAATCCACCTATCTCTGCTATCCTACCTGGATGTCCCAAAAGTATATTAAATATATCAAATAATCTTAACAAGACCCAAACCCATATCCTGATTCCCGTCACCGCAATCTCTCCTCTGTTAATGGCACTATAATCCACTGAATTGCTCCTTAAACCTCAACCTAGTAATTATCCTAGGATACTCTCTCTCCCCACATTATTCTATCTGAAATCAGTCAGATCTCTCTAATAACACACTCTGGATACATCTACTTCTTTCCAGCTCTTACTCTAGTCCAAACCCTTTCATCTCTCACCAGACGACTGCACTAGGCTCCTCATTGGTCTCCTTGCTTCTTACATCCTTGCAGTCTATTGTCCACAGAGCAACCAGGATGATCTCTTAAAAACAAATCAGATCATGCCACTCCTCTGCTCCCATTCACATTAAAATAAAGTATACCCTCTTTGCCAAGACTTAATCAGCACCTAACTGATATGACCATTGCTGATTTCATCTCATATTATTCTTCCTCTTTATAATAAGGCCTATCTTAATAATTTTTAACATAATTCACTAACACAATATGCTCATATGTACATTATACAAAATAATTTAAGTACTAATTTTTATCTAGAGCCATTGGCTCCGGATAAATTTTACTTCATTTGAAATAAAATAGAAATTTTTTTTTTTAAGATTTTATTTATTTATTTGACAGAGAGAGAGAGACAGTAAGAGAGGGAACACAAGCAGGGGAAGTGGGGGAGGGAGAAGCAGGCTCCCCGCAGAGCAGGGGGCCTGATGCAGGGCTCGATCCCAGGACCCTGGGATCATGACCTGAGCCGAAGGCAGACGCTTAATGACTGAGCCACTCGGACGCCCCAAATAGAAATATTTCTAAAAATATTCTAAAAATAGAATATTTCACTAAAATGAAATCGAAATGTATTTCTTCTAACAGGAATATTTGGTTAAAAATTAAATTTAAAAATTACCTCCTAAATTTATCCTTCTTGTCCTTTAAATCATCAACTTCATTGTGTGTGAACAGATCAGCTATACGTGTAAGAAGATTTGCGTTAATACAGTTCATGTTGCATGGGGTAGCTACTATGGCATTCATATTTTTGTGGCAATACTGAATACATTGTTCAACCTAAAAAAACACACAATAGAAAATGAATGTTGAAGAGTGGCAATAAAGGATGATGTCATGTCAATACCTTTCAAAGATAAAATTCATTAAAAGCTTGATTCACGGATTGCTAGGTACTAACTGGATTTTGTCTATCTGAGTTAATTTATATTGTTCCAAAGTAAGCCATCAGGCCATGTTTGTACACATACAGAAATAGGAAAACAACTTTCAATTTTCTTGGCATACTTTAAACAATAATGCAATGAGCATCTTTCATAATTGTGGCAGGTATAAATCTTAGTCCATAAACTCCAATACATAAGATATGTGACTTCCTATAACTAGATTTAGTGGCAATATTAAGCCTCTACTTCTCTGAGAGGCTAAAATATAATTTTAGTCACTTCAGGGTTTTCTCAGTTGTGTTGTGCCTGCTTCCTGACTCTCCTCGCCTTTCTCCAACCTGAGGTATATTTATTTACTTTTTGAGGTGGATTTGCGTTTTGCGGAGTAGCACTGGCTAATCATGTATTTTCCAAATATTTTGTTTCTGGCATAAAAATTATGCTTTAGGGCTTAGACTTCAAAAGCCAAAGATTAAGGACTCTTTTCATCTCTGCTTTTTTTCTGTAACCCTACCCTGAAGCAATTAATACAACTAAGTGGGGAACAACTAAGGAGTAGGAAGAATACAGAGAACTAGTAAAACCCCAAATAATCAAACAAATTTCACATCTGTTAATATAGCAAAGGAGTACTCTGCCTTAACACAAACATACATAAACATGTGAATGATTAAGAAATTTATTAAATAAAAAAACAAATATATTTAATGTCAGAGCCTGATATGTGCATGTATACATTGCGCTTTTACATTTTATCAACTACTCTTAAAAAATAGACATTAGCATCTGGTTTACACATACACAGTTATATTAATAGTTGGGTATTTGTTTTTAATTCACTGAGTTATAAATGAAAGACACAAATAAGTAAAACATGCTTAAAGAAATTACTTAGTGAAACAAATATATTCCAATTAATTTTCACTTAATCTGGTTTTAGAGCAAAATCCATCTTGGACTAAAGCTAATTCTGTTTAGTTTCATCTAATACAACAATAAGCTATTCCTTGAAGATAAATTGTTTGCTTTATAGGCATAATATACTAATGATACATAGTCATCTAACCCCTTCCCCACAGAACAAGAGCAGTTTATTCTAATGGAATTGTAAACAGAAAGAGTTAGGGATCCCTGGACTAGGAAAGACAGACAAAGCTTTCCTGACACAAGAGAAGTCATGTTAGGCCCCAAGCTATTTTCTGTGATCTGTGCCCTACTTGCCCAAGCACACTTCTTGCAGAACCTCCTAGGAGGTGTCAGAGTTATAAAGAAATACAAAGACCTCAGTAGTTAAGAATTTTAAGGGAATCAAGGGAATGTAAAAACTAACAGTCTCCATCAGGCTTGGAAATAGCCTGACCATATCAGAGACAACAAACTGGTGGTAAAAACTCCCAATGCTGGTTCCAAAGTAAGCAAGGCCGTGCATTCCTAATGGAGATAACAAACCCATGACACCACCCAGTTTATGCCCATAGCCCCTTCCCCTCTTCCAGTTACCTCTGCTTCATTATAATATTAAAGTATCCACCCTGGGAAGAGCCCAAGCTTCATTAACATAGCATAGGATGCCTGTACCTTATGCCCCCCCCTTTACCTGCAATGACAGTGCTCCCCTTTATGAATATTCATCCTAAACCCTAAATAAAGGAACTTCTCACCCCTGCTTGGGGAGTAATGGCTGATCTCCTTATTTGCTGCAAATAGTTTCCTTTGTCTGACAACTCCACCTGATGTAGTCTCTCACCAAGTAACTCACCAAGAAGCAAACTCCTCTTAGTTCAGTTACAGAATCACACTCTTGAATTAACAACTATTTTAGTAGGATGTCTTAAAAATTTCTAGACACTTTAAGGAAAAATCAAGTTGCATGTTAAATTAAGCATAGGTGAATAAAAAAGCTTGGATCTGGGGCGCCTGGGTGGCTCAGTTGGTTAGGCGACTGCCTTCAGCTCAGGTCATGATCCCAGAGTCCTGGGATCGAGTCCCACATCGGGCTCCCTGCTCTGCGGGGAGCCTGCTTCTCCCTCTCCCACTCCCCCTGCTTGTGTTCCCTCTCTCGCTGTGTCTCTCTCTGTCAAATAAATAAAATCTTAAAAAAAAAAAAAAAAAAAGCTTGGATCTTTTTTTGGCAGAGGGAGACAGAGAGAGAAAATCCTAAGCAGGCTCCACGCCCAGAGTGAAGCCCAACGCAGGGCTCAACCTCACAACCCTGAGATCATGACCTGAGCCAAAATCAAGAGCCAACGCTTAACCAACTGGGCCACCCAGGCACCCTGAAAAGAGCTTGGATCTTTTAATAATACTTACCAATGAATCCATTTTCAAAAACTCTGAAGAAATAAGAATTGAAATGACATTTCCTGGCTCTAAAAAAAAGAAAAAAAAATTAAATTCTCCTTTTGATTTGTACCTCAACCTCCTCAGAACAGGCTCCTTCTCACCTTAACAGAGGATGTTACATTTTAAGAGCAATTTAGTATAACCTTACTACATCATATAGCTTAGATACATGAAAGAAAGAAAATGCAGTGTTAAAATAAAGGGTATAGAAAAAGCACATAGTAAATCTGCCCTGGAATTAGATTCATAGCAAGTAAAAAGATTCCAGCTAAAGATATGACACATGCAAACTTTTCTCCTTAACTAAATCAGAAATAATTAAAATTGAGACTATAATTCATCACATAAAAAAATAATCGTGAGAAAATCTTCTAAACAATTAATGAAAGCACTTGTTATTAGTGAAGTTATTTCAAAAGCAGTACAATACTTGTTACAAACAAATATTTAATTAAAAGATTCTGAGAGATAATATGAAATTTACTATTGCAGAAGTGCTAAGTTACTTCCTAAAGGCAGGCTGAGGTGGGCCTTGAGAGACATAACCAAGGAAAGGAGAATGCCAGCTAACACTATTATTTTGGTAAACCTAAGTCATCTCCTATGAGGTATATTTAAGAAAGGAAAAAAAAAAAAACTATGATTTTTAGCATTATAGTATTAAGACAATCCTTCTAAATAAAGGACTATGCAGACAGCGATTAAAATAAGTAACCCTAATCTTTATTACTTCCAGGTAGGGGCGCCTGGGTGGCTCAGATGGTTAAGCCTCTGCCTTCAGCTCAGGTCATAATCTCAGGGTCCTGGGATCGAGCCCCACATCGGGCTCCCTGCTTGGCGGGGAGCCTGCTTCTCCCTCTCCCTCTACTGTTCTCCCTGCTTATGCTCTCTCGCTCTCTCTGTCAAATAAATAAATAAATAAATAAAATCTTTAAAAAAAAATTACTTCCAGGTTAAAGGCTCTCAAATAGCAATTTTGAAGGGAGGAGGGAGCTAGTGAAAATTCTCTCGGGGAAGTGTAATATAGCCCATTCCAGCTAAGACCCATTGTCTGAATTATTAGAGATCTGATTAAGCATTTTGGTGGTTTTCCCGGTTAGAATAAAGATTGCTATTGTTTATTTATTTTTAAAAATATTTTTACTTATTTATGTATTTATTTATTTACCAAGCACACGTATGCACACGCAAGTAGGGGGAGGGGCAGAGGGTGAGAGAAAATCTCAGACTCCTCCCTGAGTGCGGAGCCCAACGTGGGACTCAATCTCACAACCCCGAGGTCATGACCTGAGCTGAAATCAAGAGTCAGATGTTTAACCAACTGAGCCACCCAGGTGCCCCTAAAGATTGCTATTATAAAAGTCTATGTTTGTAGCTACTGATTGCGGAGTGACTGGTTTTGCTCCACTTCTTTTATCTTTACTATACGTATAAATATGCTGGATCAAACAATATTTTTTTCTGTCTGCATAATTTGATTTTTTATTTTACATACACATATCATATCTGGGTGATCTGGAATCTCGACTCTGGCTGAAAATCTTTATTTGGCAATCTTGTAATTTTTATTTAAGAGCCACTAGAACCTTTTTTCCATTAATTTGGTCACTAAAATGTAATAAATTATAAATTTCTTCAGAAAATTTTTATATTGTCACTATAGATTTATTTACTAACAAGATTAAAAAAATATTTTGGTACTGCTATAAATAGCAAACTCTAGTACACAGAAAGACTTTATTAAACCACAAGTGTGATTTCCTATACAAGTCCATACCCAACTAAAGATTACTTAGTAATTATTCTTCCTTTCATCTAGAACACTGGTTCCAAACTTTTGATCTTAAGACCTCTTTTTTGTTTAGATGGTTTATATCTATCAGTACTGACCATATCATAAATTAAAACACGGAAAAATTTAAAATATTTCTTAATTCCTTTTAAAAGAATAATAAACTCATTACATAGTAACATATTTTATGAAAAATAACTATATTTTCCAAAATACAAATTAGCAAGAAGAGTAACACTGACATTTTCTGCAAATTTCTTCCATGTCTGACTTAATAGAAGGCAGCTGGATTCTATCTGTTTCTACATTCAATTTGTGGGTAGTCTTCTCTGATGTTACATCAAAACTCAACAACTGGTAGTTTCTTTTAAAGGTTAGTTGCAATGGAATCTGAAGTCATATCAATGAACTTCTCCTGTTCTGTTATCTCAAAGTCAAATGATTTATCTTACACTTTGAGTGGATCTTTAACCCATGCATGATTTTAACAACACGCATTGGTCATTTGGAAACTATTGGTTCACTGAGTTATGTGGACCTTCCAAATGTTGCAACATTTCATTGTATAATATATATATATATTAATATATAAAAATCACACTTGTTAGTATTACCACCAGCCTCATCAGAAAAGTCTTTAAGGAGCGCCTGGGTGGCTCAGTCATAAAGCGCCTGCCTTCGGCTCAGGTCATGATCCCAGCGTCCTGGGATCAAGCCCCACATCGGGCTCCGTGCTCTGCGGGAAGCCTGCTTCTCCCTCTCGCACTCCCCCTGCTTGTGTTCCCTCTCTCGCTGTGCCTCCCTCCGTCAAATAAATAAATAAAATCTTAAAAAAAAAAAAAAAAGTCTTTAAATAGGGGCGCCTGGGTGGTTCAGTCAGTTAAGCGTCTGCCTTCAGCTCAGGTCATGATCCCAGGGTCCTGGGATTGAGCCCCGCATCAGGCTCCCTGCTCCATGGGAAGCCTGCTTCTCCCTCTCCCACTCTCCCTGCTTGTTGTGTTCCCTCTCTCACTGTGTATCTCTCTGTCAAATAAATAAATAAAATCTTAAAAAAAAAAAAAAAGTCTTTAAATATGGAGAAGCTGTCAAGCACATGGAAGCAGATAAAGTTTTCCACACTCCAATTCTCATTTGAAACCCTGAATTTTATTATTGACAATGGATACTGTCAGTTGTTTCCCTTTAGTTGATCAACTCCCTTAATTCATTTTCAAGAAAATATTGGCCAAATGCCTAAATCTGAATAACCATAATTTACCTATCATTCTTTCAAGGAAAAATGGTTTTCTTTTTTAAAAAGCAGGTAGTTTAGTTTGCAACTCAAACAACTGCACAAGTGCTTTTCCTCCAGATGACCATCACACTTCGGTGTGCAGCAGGAGTGCACCTCCCGCTGTCATCACACAGAACATGAAAAAGATGCATACTCAAGGGTCAAGAGTTAATAAAATTAATAATTTTCAGTGTTTCATCAAGGACATTCTTAAAGTGAGAGTGAATTTTTTTTCCTTTTTAACTGTGAGTACGTGGTATTGAGGAATATGGTGACTACTAGTACAGTTTAGTGCCCCTGCTCTGATGTGTGCTAAAGCTCCCAGAGTTTTCTCCTCTATTACTTTTTTTTTTTTTTTTAAAGATTTTATTTACTTATTCAACAGAGAGAGTGACAGAGTACAAGCAGGGGGAGCAGTAGAGGGAGAGGAAGAAGCAGGCTTCCCGCTGAGCAAGGAGCCTGCCATGGGACTCGATCCCAGGACCCTGAGATCATGACCTGAGCCGAAGGCAGACGCTTAACCATCTGAGCCACACAGGCGCCCCTCTCCTCTATTACTTCTGTACCATCTGAATAAATGTCAACACAGAGAAAAAGACAGAAACAGTTTAGTACTATAATACAAATCGTCTTGACCCTGTGAATTCTCTAAAAGATCTCTAGGATTCCAGAGGTCCATGTACCATACAGTGAGAACTGCTGATCTAGAGACCTGTCCACTTGCCATACATTCACTGTAATCTACTAAAAAAGGATGAGGTATCAGTTTCCTAAAAGGTGGTTACTAATCTGAGCACAAATACTAATGTCCAAATAATTTTCCACATTGCATGTTTGGCCAGAAGCAACTACCAGGTGACACATAAATTTTACTACAAAATAAGCAATAGATTTTTTACCTAAAGTGGGCATCTCACGATCTTTATTCTCCTTAGTGTTCCTTTTAACATATTTTATCAACCAGTTGAAAATGTGAACGTCACAATGAACTGAAATGTCCACCTCTTCCCAGCGCTGGGCATCCATAGATAAATATTCAGCAAAGTACTTCATTTCTGATATCAAAAGATCTCGTGGGCAAATAAAATCTTCTTTCAAGTTTTTTGCTTCATCACATACATGGATCACCATGTTTGGCCTTCATAAAAAATGTTACACAGAAATGAAATTATTAGAGTTCTAGAAGAGGAGCTAAGAATACTGACATTTATTGGAAGTACGAGAATAAGACATTTTTAGAAGTTTTGACCATAAATCAATTTTATAGGGTTTGACATTCAGAATTTTTCATTTAAGTGTCTTGCTAATCTGATCTATATCTTAGATTTTGACTAATTTTAGTTAAGCTATTGACCTTAAGATTATTAAGCCTAATAACTTTAGAGCTTAGAAAAACAAAAATATTTTTATTATAGGACTCTAATTTACACGGTTTAAAGTTTATTTTTCCAGTTATAAGTTAACAAAATTTTAAAAAATACCAATTCACAAAGAAAAATTAAATAATACATTCTAATTCTGACGAAGAACATAAAATGGCACTTTTATATGGTTATGAGTATGATGAGTAAAGATTAAATACTAAAATTTTCTTACTTTTAATAAATAGGAAAAACAGTTAAAATCATTCATTGAAGAATCAAAAAACTAGCATGGCTACTTAGTTATTTTTAACAGCAAGAAAGTTTGTTTCTAGGCATTCATCAAATATAAATTAGTAAATGTAGTTAAAGGATTCTTAAGACTACAACATGCTTATTAGCATATTTAAAAAATAATTTAAGAATAAGTTTAGATAATCAATCAGAACGACTGCTTCAAAATTATATACTCCTTGAATTTACTTTCCCTTGAAAATTATATCACCTCAAAAAGCAGTATCAGTGGGATCCACAACTACCCTCACATCATTACAAAAGAGAATAAATAGAATATGAATTTAATGTGTTCAAAGGAACTCCATAACTTTCTAATAAAATTACAATTGAAACAAAACTGGGCTACCAGAAAAAGGATTATTAACCAACATTCTTGTCAAAGTCAAAGGAATTTAAATAACTTCGCAAATTGTTCTTCCAAAGAAATTACGGTCAAAATATAAACAGGTAATGGCTGGTATAATGAAGCATAATGTTTCTGTGGCTTTTGAAATACTAGATAATTCCAGTAAAAAATTATCTGATAAATTTTTGTGCTACACAAACAAAACTATCGGTTAAAAATCTATGTGAATAAATTAAAAATCACTGAACTATACACTTCAAAAGGGTGAATTTTTCTTACTGTGGTAAAATACACATAACATAAAATCTGTCATATTAGCCCTTGTAAGTGTACAGTTCAATGGCATTAAGTACACGTTGTACAATCATCACCACCATCCATCTCCAGAACTTTTTTCAAAAGGGTAAATTTTATGGTATATGAATTATATATGAATAAAACTGTTAGAAAAGAAACTATGAGAACTGAAAATACAGAAAGGAACTTTCAGATATGAAAATATTCTATATCTTCATTTGAGTGATGCTTACATGGTGTACCCATTTGTTAAAACTCATCAAGGTGAATACTTAAAATATGTCTAATCTACTGTATGTAAAATATACAAAACAATCAAAACTTGCAATATACTGAAAGGTGTATTCTAATTCTTAAATGTTTCTATAATGAGACTGTTTCCAAAATACACATCTAGTTTCATAAAATTGGAGAACTAATGGAAGGGATTTTTCTTTGGGTTTTAAAATTTGCTTTTCAAAGTTTTATATTAGAGGTTATTCCTAATATTTACAAATATGAAACCGAATTTTTAAATGGAAAACTGTAACCCAATTTAATTATAAAATGAATAAGCCGTATGTTTAGCCATCAAGCAATTTGTTATAGTTCAATGAACTACCCTTTATCCGAACAATTTGAACAATTGTGTAATGTGAAATTCCTAAATTATGGTAACTGATATATACAATCACCAATCATATATTTTATCACTTAAAGTTGATATTCATATTAAATCTTATCTAGCAAAGAACCAGCCTCCTACCCTTCAGATTCTTCAGTCTTTTCTCCACCATTACGAGTAGTACAATTTTCACTTTCTGAAGAACAATTCCTTGTGGAAGCTATACTATGTCTTCCTTAAATACAGAAACAAACACATACAAAAACAAAGGGGGAGGTTAGCGTTTCTAGCTGAGAACGGGTTTTTACTTACTGAATGGTTATACTGTAAATGCATGGTTTCCAAGGCTAGTTAAAGATGGTACTCTGTTAGGTGCCATTTCCCTTAATATTTCTAAACGTATATGGAAGAAACAGTAGAAAAAAAAGGATCACACATTGCTAACATTACACTGAAGATTTAAAAAATGATGTGGTGTGAATAGACAGGGGTCAAGTGTTCAAAAGCCAACAATATAGTCCTCTCTTTCTGAAGTAAATTTTTATATCAGTATTCTGACTGCTGCTGCTGAGATTTAAATCATTCACTACACTCAGGATTTCTACAATCAGTTATTATTTCCAACTGCAGAAAACATCTTTTCTATCCTGCCACTGCGTCATTTGAAGCTAATGTTGACTACATAAAAGGTAGATAATATGAGGAATAAGCAACATTTTCTCAGTAAAAAAAAATAAGTAGAAATTGTAGGTCAAATCTTTTTAAATTTATAACATAATCAGGCTAACAGACTAGAGCAGTAAATTTTAATATAATAAAAAGCTTTTTTTGGTGATAGTGTTTGACCTGTATATTAACATTAAAACATTTTTCAAATATAGCAAAGACACATTTCTAAAAATCAGGAAGATACAAATCCTAATAGATTTCCTAGCAATGTTTATATTAGCCTTTAAATATATAAAGAAAAGTTGATTGAACAGCATATTTTGCAAATTGTCATAAGGACAAGTACTGCATTTTGTTTTCAAGCCTTACTTGCTTTGGAAATTGCATCTTGACCAACCGGAGTCTCCTGAAATTCTCCTTGCATGTCAAGAAGGGAGGATTTGATATACGTGGCTAAAGTTTCCACAGGACTCTCTCCAGCAGCCATTAGAGGACTATACTGGTTGTCAACAGGGGAACTTCCACTGCTCTTCAGTTCATCAAACCTTTTTGCACACTGTAATGACATAAGAAGAAGGAAATGCAGGTCTTTCTTAATTAAAAAATAAGATTATTTTCTTGCCTTCTATTTGGTGATATTTTTCTATAATCATTTTTTACAAGTGAATTCTAATCTGCTGGGTAGTACCTAGAAAATTAGCACACATTTCAATATACAAAAGCTTCTGACATTTTGTCTTTTTTAAAATTCAGGGTAGAACTTTTTCTTTTGAGAGAAAGAGAGTATATGTGCATGTGTGCAAGCAGGGGGTGGGGGTAGTGGTGGGGGGCGGAGATGAGGAGCAGAGGGAGAAGGAGAGAGAGATCTTAAGCAGCCCTGCAAAGCCAGATCTCATGATCCTGAGATCATTATCTAAACCAAAACCAAGAATTAGATGCTGAGGGCGCCTGGGTGGCTCAGTTGGTTAAGCGACTGCCTTCAGCTCAGGTCATGATCCTGGAGTCCCTGGATCGGGTCCCGCATCGGGCTCCCTGCTCTGCGGGGAGTCTGCTTCTCCCTCTGACCCTCCCCCCTCTCATGTGCTCTCTCTCATTCTTTAAAAAAAATCTTTAAAAAAAATAAATAAATAAAAAGTTCTATGGGCTCCAGGGTGGCACAGTTGGTTAAGCATCTAATTCCTTTTTTTTTTTTAAAGATTTTATTTATTTATTTGAGAGAGAGAGAATGAGAGAGAGCACGAGAGGGGGGAGGGTCAGAGGGAGAAGCAGACTCCCCGCAGAGCAGGGAGCCCAATGCGGGACCCGATCCAGGGACTCCAGGATCATGACCTGAGCTGAAGGCAGTCGCTTAACCAACTGAGCCACCCAGGCGCCCGCCCATAGAACTTTTTAAAATATGCTTTAACCCAATGGCATAATATGTTTATGCTGTTATAGGAAAATGAAAAATGCCTTTGTCTACCATATTTCCCTGTGGTTTGTATTTATTATCAGTTGACAAAGATAAAAAACATAAATGGTTTTATTGAATCCGTTTTTCCTTCAAAATGAATTTATTTTTTGTAACAGTAAAGTGATAGGTAGGCTTTTTTTTTTTTTAAGATTTTATTTATTTATTTGAGAGAGAGAGAATGAGAGAGAGCACATGAGAGGGGGGAGGGTCAGAGGGAGAAGCAGGCTCCCTGCTTGGCAGGGAGCCCGATGCGGGACTCGATCCAGGGACTCCAGAATCATGACCTGAGCCAAAGGCAGTCGCTTAACCAACTGAGCCACCCAGGCGCCCTAGGTAGGCTTTTAAAACACAGGTTCCTTTGATATATTTTAAGTAAAGTGTATAGCTATATTGGAAAATGAGTGTAGATTTATCTAACAAGCTTTACAGCAATTTCTAATATTTAAAAAATGAAGATTATGAATTTTGAAATATGTGATTGCTTAAACAAAGAAGTGAACTATAAATAATTTAAATCATATTGTTAAATGTTCTTTGTGTTTGGGACGCATGGGTGGCTCAGTAAGTTAAGCGTCTGCCTTCAGCTCAGGTCATGATCCCAGGGTCCTGGGATCGAGTCCCACATCAGCCTTCTCACTTAGCAGGGAGCCTGCTTCTCCCTCTGCCTGCACTCCCCCTGCTTGTGCTCTCTCTCTCTGACAAATAAATAAAATCTTTTAAAAAAATGTTCTTTGTGGGGGCACCTGGGTGGCTCAGTCGTTAAGCGTCTGCCTTCGGCTCAGGTCATGATCCCAGGGTCCTGGGATCGAGCCCCGCATCGGGCTCCCCGCTCAGCGGGAAGTCTGCTTCTCCCTCTCCCACTCCCCCTGCTTGTGTTCCCTCTCTAGCTGTCTCTCTCTCTGTCAAATAAATAAATAAAATCTTTTAAAAAAATGTCCTTTGTGTTTAAACAAAAATTACATGATATCTATATGTAAAAGAATGAAGCTGGACCCTTTACCTAAAACACATAGAAAAATTAGCTCAAAATAGATTGAAGACTAAATATAAGAGCTAACACTATAAAACTCTTAGGAGAAAATAATCTTGGATTAGGTGATAGTTTCTTAGCTATGACATTAAAAGCACAAGCAACAAAGAAAAATTAGATAAACCACACCTCCTCAAAATTTACAACTCTGTGCTTCAAAGGACACCATCAAGAAAATGAAAAGACAACACACACAATAGGAGAAAATATTTGCAAGTCATATATCTGATAAAGGATTTGCATCTAGAATATATTAAGAACTCTTATTACTCAATAATAAAAAGACAAGGGGTGCCTGGCTGGCTCAGTTGGTGGAGCATGTGACTCTTGATCTCAGGGTTGTGAGTTCAAGCCCCATGGTTGGGTGTAGAGACTATCTAAAAATAAAATGTTAAAAAAGTTTTGGGAAAAAAAAGCCAACCCAATTTAAAAATGGGTAAAGGATCTAAATAGACATTCCTCCAGAGAAGATCTATAAATGGCCAATAAGCACATGCCAAGATAATGACTATCATTAGCCATCAGGAAAACGTAAATCAAAATCATAATGAATTACTACTTCATACCCATCAGGGAGGCTATAATCAAAAAGACAGATAATAAAAGTGTTGACAAGGATGTGAAGAAACTGGAACCGTCTGATATTTCTGGTGGGAATGTAAAAATAGTCTCTTTGGAAAAATTAGATACATTATTTCAGCTAAGTTAAACACATGAAAACTCTTAATCTGTCCTTTTTCCACTTTCAAAATACCAACACATCATTGTCAAAATGGAAAAAAATGATAATCCAGGAGATTGAGAGAACATTCAAAAAGCTTAAAAAAACACACACAAGATTTTTGTCTACCAGACATTAAAGCAATATTGAAAATAACTGAACATAAAACTATCAACAGGATTAAATAAAGAGATCAACAGATCAGAACAGTAAATGTAGAAAAAGATTTGAATTTCAAACCAGTAATAAAGAATGAAATTATTTTCCAAACTATGGAAAGAGCCCAAATGTCCATCAACTGATGAATGGATAAAGATGTGGTGTACACACACACACACACACACACACACACACACACACACACACAATGGAATATTACTCAGCCATAAAAAGAATGAAATCTTGCTATCTGCAACAATGTGAATGGAGCCAGAGAGTATTGTGCTAAGCGAAATAAATCAGTTAAAGATAAATAGCTTATGATTTCACTCATATGTGGAATTTAAGAAACAAACCAGATGGGGGCGCCTGGGTGGCTCAGTCAGTTAAGCATTCAACTCTTGATTTTGCCTCAGGTCATGATCTCACAGTTGTGGGATCGAGCAGCCCCTGCTCAGTGGGGTGTCTGCTTTTCTCCCTCTTCCTCTCCCTCTGTTCCTCCCCACTCTCTGCTCCTTGCAAGCGCTCCCTCTCTAAAATAAATAATAAATCTTAAAAAAAAAAAGGAAACAAAACAGATGAACATATGGGAGGGATCAAAAAAGAAGAGAGGAAAACAAACCATAAGAGACTCTTAAAGATATAGAAAAAAATGAGGTTTGATGTAGGGAAGGGATGGGGGATGGGTTAAATGGGTGATGGGTATTAAGGATGGCACTTGTTATGATGAGCACTGGGTGTTGTATGTAAGTGATGAATCACTGAATTCTACTCCTGAAACCAATATTGCACTATGTTAACTAACTAGAATTTGAATAAAAAATTTGAAAAGAAAAAAAAGAATGAAATATTCAATAAATGTTGAGACAATTAACTAGTCATTGGGAAAAAAGTTAAAACTAAAATAAACTCCAGGTGGAGTTAAGATTTAAATGTAGAAAATAAAAGTAGTCAGGAAAATGTAGGTGACTACATATTATACATAGCCTTCAGGTAAGAAGGATTTTCTAAACAGGATAAAAAAGGCAGATTTCAAAATAAAAGATTCATAGATTTTACATTAAACATTTTAAACTTTTAAACATTTATATATAAGAGAGTATCATTAATAACTTAATAGGCTGAAAAAACTGATAAAAGCTAGATCAAGGGTTAATATAATTAATATATGGAAAACCACTATTTAAAACTAGTAACAAAACATTGGGGTACCTGGGTGGCTCATTCAGTTAACTGTCTACCTTTTGGCTCAGGTCATGATCCCTGACTTCAGGGATCGAGCCCCGTGTTGGGCTCCCTGCTCAGCCAAGAGTCAGCTTCTCCCTCTGCCCCTCCCCCCTGCTCATGCGCGCGCTCTCTCTCTCTCTCTCTCTCTCGCTCTGCTCTATCTCAAATAAATCAATAAAATCTTTTTAAAAAACTAGTACCAAAACAAATTCACAAATAGAAAAAGGACATGGTACAATAAAATATAAAATGTTCAACCTCTTTAGGATTTAAAGTAAATTAAAACTGCAATGAGATAACACGTATTAAAAATATATATAAATGAGACTTGAAAAGACACACACACAAATAATATGTGATATAAAAAGTACAGGGATCAAGACTCAGCCATGTTGACTGGAATATAACATTGATGGCCCTTCTGGTTGGCAATATGTAACAAAAGCCTTAAAGATGCATTATCCCCTAAGGAAAGAAGAATAAGTTTGGTTTCTTTTTAGAAGAATAAGATATTTTAACAGTGGTATTTGTAGTAGCCAAAAGTTGGAAATAATAGCTTACATATCCAACAAAAGGGACTGGTTTAATAAATTATGATATAGCTCATAGCTCAAATGTTGCAGGTCTATTAACTGACACATAAAGATGTCTATAATATGTACATTTGCTGTATGTCCATCTTAACAATTCTTGTATGTATAGAAAAGTATCTGGGGACGCCTGGATGGCTCAGTTGGTTAAGCCAAAGTGGCTCAGTCGGTTAAGCGTCTGCCTTCAGCTTAGGTCATGATCCCAGGGTCCTGGGATCGAGTCCCACATGGGGCTTCTTACTCAGCAGGGAGCCTGCTTCTCCCTCTGCCTGCAGCTCCATCTGCTTGTGCTCTCTCTCTCTGACAAATAAATAAATAAAATCTTAAAAAAAAAAAAAGAAAAGTATCTGGAAGGATATATACAAGGTGTTAACAACTTACTTTAGATCAGGTCAGGCTTATTCTGATTTTTCACTTATTTCCTTTGTGTGTGTGTTCTTTAAGGACATGTTTTGTTTAGTAATAAAAAATTATTTAGGGGTGCCTGGGTGGCTCAGTCGGTTAAGCATCTGACTCTTGTTTTCAGCTCAGGTCAAGATCTCAGGGTCGTGAGCTTGAGGCCTGCATTGCAGTGGCTCCACACTCAGCAGGGAGTCTGCTTGAGACTTTCCCTCTGTCCCTTCTTGTGTGCTCATACATGTGCTCTCTCTCTCTCTCTCAAATAAATAAACTTTAAAGAATTATTTAAAAATTAACACTACTTAAAAATAATCTGATTCAGGGGCGCCTGGGTGGCTCAGTTGGTTAAGCGACTGCCTTCGGCTCAGGTCGTGATCCTGGAGTCCCTGGATCGAGTCCCGCATCGGGCTCCCTGCTCGGCAGGGAGTCTGCTTCGTCCTCTGACCCTATCCCCTCTCATGTATTCTCTCTCTCTCAAATAAATAAATAAAATCTTTAAAAATAATAATAATAATCTGATTCACATTTAGTTGTATTTTAGTTAAAAAAATAATTCAACAATTGGGTTAATTTGGATACACAGTGAATATCAGATGATATGACAGAGTTGCTGTTAATTTCTTGGGTTAAACCATGGTACTGTGGTTATGAAATAATGTCCTTATTTTAAGGAGATGTATGATGCAGTCTATGGGGTAAAGTGTCATGGTGTCTGACACTTTTAAGTATCACAAAAAAAAATTTCATAAAGAAATGAAGCAAATAGGGCATCTATAAAAGGATATAGGGGTGGTAGTACTATTCTTTCAACTTTTCTAGATGTTTGAAGATATTCACAATAAAAAGTCAGAACAGTAGTTGAATTAACAGGTTTGCCCCATTTTAAAACCTAACAAGTTTCATGCCCTTCAACAGATGAATGGATAAAGATGTGGTCCACATATACAATGGAATATTACTCAGCAATCAGAAAGGATGAATACCCAACTTTTGCAGCAACATGGATGGGACTGGAGGAGATTATGCTAAGTGAAATAAGTCAAGCAGAGAAAGTCGATTATCATATGGTTTCACTTATTTGTGGAACATAAGGAATAGCATAGAGGACATTAGGAGAAGGAAGGGAAAAATGAAGGGGGGAATCAGAGGGGGAGACAAACCATGAGAGACTATGGACTCTGGGAAACAAACTGAGGGTCTTAGAGGGGAGGGGGGTGGGAGAATGGGTTAGCCCAGTGACAAGTATTAAGGAGGGCATGTATTGCATGGAGCACTGAGTGTTATACACAAACAATGAATCATGGAACACTACATCAAAAACTAATGATATACTGTATGGTGACTAACATAACATAATAAAAATAAATTAATTAATTAAAAAAACTTAAGTTTCAAAACTTAACCAAAAGGTTTGAAAAAGTATAAATTAGGTAGTGAAAAAAAAAGGATCCCTCATCATTTCACAAAGACCTATAACATAAATGAGGGCAAGTAATTTCTTGTGGGTATTGGTTTGCTTGGCTGCAAGAGAAGATGGTGGGGGCGCCTGGGAGGCTCAGTCAGTTTGACTACATTAAAAGACTTAATGAGAGGGATGCTGGGGTGGCTCAGTAGGTTAAGCATCTGCCTTCGGCTCAGGTCATGATCCCAGGGTCCTGGGATCGAGTCCTGCTTCGGGCTCCTTACTCAGCAGGGAGCCTGCTTCTCCCTCTGCCTGCCACTCTCCCTGCTTGTGCTCTCTCTCTCTGACAAATAAATAAAATATTTTAAAAATAAATAAATAAGTAAATAAAAGACGTAATGAGGTTTTCAAATGTTTGTGCCTATGTATTTGCATCACAGTGGATGTGAGTGCTGCACATGCAGCCTGATGCTGTTTTGTATTGGCGAGCTGTCAAAGTTGCGATTTTACAACTTTCAAAAAGTTTTCTAATTAGGGGCGCCTGGGTGGCTCAGTTGTTAAGCATCTGCCTTCAGTTCAGGTCATGATCCCAGAGTCCTGGGATCGAGCCCTGCATCGGACTCCCTGCTCAGCAGGGAGCCTGCTTCTCCTTCTCCCACTCCCCCTGCTTGTGTTCCCTCTCTGGCTGTGTCTCTGTCAAATAAATAAATAAAATCTTAAAAACAAACATATAATTTGATTTACAAAAATTTTATCTACCCATAATTTTACAGTATCAGTTCTGTTACTTAAAATTAGATATTATTAGGGGCGCCTGGGTGGCTCAGTCATTAAGCGTCTGCCTTCAGCTCAGGTCATGATCCCAGGGTCCTGGGATCGAGCCCCGCATTGGGCTCCCTGCTCAGCGGGAAGCCTGCTTCTCCCTCTCCCACTCCCCCTGCTTGTGTTCCCTCTCTCACTGTGTCTCTGTCAAATAAGTAAATAAAATCTTAAAAAAAAAAAAAAACAATAATAAAATTAGATATTAGTGAATTTTCAGTTGTTATATAAACAGTTGAATTTAAACATACCAGATGGGTTAATATATAATTTATGTAGTTTGTATCTAGTTAAATCATATCATATGCACATTCAGAATTCATGCGTATGAATATGTAAAACTGAATTTTTTTTCCTTTCTTAGTAGCTGTTTCTTTAAATTGATCATTTTCTGATTTTTCCAGGAGCAATCTGGGGGACAGTTATTTACCTCTTTGGGTGTTAATCCAGGCACAAGCCTTGCCACAGTTTCCCAGTTGATGGTCTGATGGATTCCAATTAATGGATAAAGGATCATGTCCAATACCATTTGGTTGTTATTGTTCAAGAAATTGTTGTTCTCTGAATATCCACGACTCATCTTTTAGAACTAGAAATAAAGACAAATAGATATATTTACATCTGAAATCCAAGTGTTTTTAGAACACTATAAATCAGTTATAATTTATTCCTAAGAATTATATGCTACCTATAAAGGAAAAATAAAACTGACCTAAAATAAATAGAATATGCAGCTCAAATCTCTTCAAATACTATAGCATTTGAATATATGGATTGGTGGATGGATAGACACATAGGATTGACAGATGGATAAATTATCTGATAAAAAAGTATAATGAAATATTAATGGTAGAATGTAAGTGGTGGGTATACAGGGGTTCACTACATTTTTTTTTAACTTTGCTATATGTTTAAAATTTTTCATAATAAAACACTGGGGGGAAAGGTTGAATAAAATATACCTTTTTAAAAAAAATCCCTAAGTGTGCTTGATTTAAACCTTGATTAGCAATTCATGGACAGTAGAGTTTAACTAAAACAGAACAAAACAAAACAAAAACAAAAACAAAACCTGGTTAAAAAGAACTGTAATGGGTGCCTGGGTGGCTCAGTTGGTTGGGCGACTGCCTTTGGCTCAGGTCATGATCCTGGAGTCCCGGGATTGAGTCCCGCATCGGGCTCCCTGCTCAGCAGGGAGTCTGCTTCTCCCTCTGACCCTCCCTGCTCTGATGTGCTCTCTCTCTCTCTCTCATTCTCTCTCTCAAATAAATAAATAAAATCTTTAAAAAAAAAAAAAAAAGAACTGTAATTTCATTCTAGTCCTACGCAGTATTTGCTTTATTCTTCTGTGAGTGAATGTCCATGCTACAATGAAGGCTGAGTATATTTAATTTTTACTAATGTAAACAAATGAAACTTAAAAACAAGTTAATCTGACATTATAGGATAACCATAATCATTGTCATTGAGTCATGTGATTATTAGTTATAAATGGTGGGACATTCTATCAACAATTATAATTAGTATTATTTCTATTTGTTTGAAGCAATTTTTTTGGATTGTTCTTTTCTTTTTCCTTGTCTTCAGAAAAAACATGACAATTGACCAATAAGATTTAACCCTTACACATCCAAACACACCCTGCCACTCAAATATAAAAAGCCAAAGCAACTACACACACACACACACACACTCACTCCTGCACAGTGGAGGCTCTTCTTGCTTTGTTACCTGGCTCCCCAGCCACTACATCCTCCTCTAGTTCAATCCAGGAGCCCTTGAATAACATATCCAGCTACCAAGGGTGTCCAAGATGTTCAGGCAATAGAATCACCAAGAAAAGAAGGCTCTAGGGGTGCCTGAGTGGCTCAGTTGGTTGGGTCCAACTCTTGATTTCATCTCCGTTCATGATCTCAGTGAGGAGTCTGCTTCTCTCCTTCTCCCTCTGGGCCTATTCCCCCCCCCCCCCCCACCATGCATACTCTCTCTAAAATACATAAATAAGGGGCGCCGGGGTGGCTCAGTCGGTTAAGCATCTGCCCTTGGCTCAGGTCATGATCTTGGGGTCCTGGGACTGATCCCTGCACGGAGCTTCCTGCTCAGCGGGGAGTCTGCTTCTCCCTCTCCCTCTACCCCCTGCCCACTTATACACACACTCTCTCTTAAATAAATAAATAAAATCTTAAAAAAAAAAAAAGACTCTAGATGGCATCCCAAATAGATGTAGTTCTGATATGTGATGAGTCAATAAATATGGCATGGTCCCCATCCTCAAGGAATTTATGGTCTGGTGAGGGATACTAGCAGTCAAACAGATAACTTTAATATCACTTACTGAGAGCCAAAGCAGAGGGGAGCCATGGAGGGTCAGAGGAAGAAGACACAATAGCTGTTACTGTGTACAGTTGGCCATTGAACAGCACAGGTTTGAACTGTGCAAGTCCACTTATACCCAGACTTTTTTTGGTACAGTACTGTAAATGTATTTGATCTTCCTTATGGTTTTCTTAGTAATGTTTTCTTCTCTCTAGCTTACTTTATTGTAAGAATACAGTATATAATACATATACAAAATATGTGTTAATAGACTGTTTACGTGGGGCGCCTGGGTGGCTCAGTCGTTAAGCATCTGCCTTTGGCTCAGGTCATGATCCCAGGGTCCTGGAATGGAGACCCACATCGGGCTCCCTGCTCCACGGGAAGCCTGTTTCTCCCTCTCCCACTCCCCCTGCTTGTGTTCTCTCTCTCACTGTGTCTGTCTCTGTCAAATAAATAAATACAATCTTAAAAAAAAAAATAGACTGTTTACATTATCAGTAAGGTTTGTGGTCAAGAGTAGACTATTAGTACTTAAGTTTTTGGGGAGTCGAAAGTTATACAAGTATTTTTGACTGTGGGGGATCAGTACCCTTAACCCTCACATTTTCAAGGGTCAATTTAATTTTAGTTTAATAAAATGCAGTTTAATAATTGTAAAACACTTCCTTGAGCCCAGCTGAAAATAGATTTTACAGGGGCACCTGGGTGGCTCAGTCGTTGAGTGTCTGCCTTTGGCTCAGGTCGTGATCCCAGGTCCTGGGATCGAGCCCCACGAAGGGCTCCCTGCTCCGCGGGAAGCCTGCTTCTCCCTCTCCCACTCCCCCTGCTTGTGTTCCCTCTCTCACTGTGTCTCTGTCAAATAAATAAATAAAATCTTAAAAATACATACATACATACATACATACATACAAACAAAAACTAACTGAAAAATATTTAAAAACCCATCTTGGGGCACCCAAGACTGTGTCCCACAGCTTTACTCGGTTCTGGTGCCCTCCGATTGGAGGTGGCTCAGGGCTTGGTCCCACTTGAGCCGGAAAAAAAAAAAAAAAAGAAAAGAAAGAAAATAGATTTTACAGAGGTTTATTGTTCTCCACTTATATGCCCAGCACATCATCACTTTTCATACCACACAATTTGAGATGTATGTTAGGAATAGGGTATTTTATTACAATTTGTTTGGACCTCAGTAGAAAACAGTCCAAAAAACAGGCAAGGGTGCTGTTTTTTTCCTTCAATTCCAAAAAGATTCATTTAAAATTTCTAAAATATTTCTAAAATATTTATTGTGGGGGCACCTGGCTGGCTCAGTCGGTTAGGCGTCTGCCTCCAGCTCAGGTCTTGATCCCGGGATCCGGGATCATGCCCCCTGGGCTCCCCCAATCAATGGGGAGTCTGCTTCTCCCTCTCCCTCTGCACCCCCCCATGCTATCTCGCTCACTCTCTCAAATAAATAAATAAAACCTTTAAAAATATTAAAAAATAATAAATAAATAAATAAAATATTTATTGTGGCCTGCAACATGCTGGCACCTGCTAGCTAATCAAAAATATTGTTCATATCAAATACTTAAAAATGTGTATGTATATTTCAAATGTGATACTCATTTATAATATACATGATATTCTTATAAATTCCCTTGGAATAGCTGTCAGAGTGCACTCCATTCCGGAAAAAAAGTAGACTCATCAAAAACTGTGGCAGTAAGAAAAAATTTGAAGCTCAAATTACACTACTACTAAATCTAATCCCATTCCTGATAAAATATTTTTTTAATGTTAATGTTTAAGGTGAAACGTGTTATTTACCAGAAATAAAAATTCTATTTAATGCACCATGCTTTTTAAGAACCCTCATGTGCTACCTCCACCCCATTCCCACAACCTTGGTTTACTTACATGTATTAATAAAACCAATCTAATTAATTAATTAAGACCAAAGGGAAGTCCACGACTGGCATATGACTTTTTTTCTTTTTTCAAATAGAAAAAGGCTTTTGTAGACAGAGTTTTTTCCTTCGGTAGAGGAAAAGGTGCGAAACGAAGGGGCCGGTATGACAGGTCAAAGGCCTTCGGCATAACAGAGGGTGGGGGATTATTAAATAGTCATCCTAGGAGGGAAGCCTTGCCCCAGGCTTCCTGACCACAATGAGAATCGAGGCGGTTGGCTTTCACCGTGAAGGAGAAAATAAAATCACACCTGAAGCCCAGGACGAATAGATCAAAGCCCTGCAAAATCTTCGGCGCAGAGGCTCACTTCGAGGGGGGTCCTCAGGGTTCCCCAGCCTGTGGTGTCCCCGCCTCCCCCATGGGGCAGAAACTCTCCAGGCGCGGAGCGGGTGGGGAGCGGACAAAGGCGCCGGGCAGCGGGGCGAGGCGGAGGGGGGATGCGGGCAGAGACACCGGGCGCGGCCTGGCGGGCAGACGCCGGGGTTCCCTCAGCTGGTGCGTGGGCGGGACGGGCGGCGGGGACCCGGGGCTGGCAGGGCCTGAGAAGTGCAGGCTGCGCGCAGGGACGTTCGGGGGCGTTTGGGCTGGCGGGACCCCGGGCCCGCACCGGCCGGGAAGGAGGCCGCGGCGGGAAGCCGCTGCCTGCCAGCCGTACCGTCCCTTGCCGCACTTCCCGCCCCCACCGGCACCCGAGGGCCCTCGGCGTCTCGCTCACCTGCCCAGGGCCGCCGTGGCCCTCGCTGCGCCCCCGTCACCTGCAGCGGCCGGCACAGCCAGCGCTCGCGCCATGAAGCTCCGGCGACCCGTCCCGCAAGCCCCGCCGCTGCGCCCCCACACACACCGCCCCACCCGCTCGCAGGGTAGCGCCGCTCCCCACGCCGCCTCACCAATCACAGGCCAGCGCCGCAGCGGCGGAGCCAATGAGCAACGAGCTCCTGCAGGACTGGGACGGGTGGCCAGACAAGCGGCTGAGGCTAGCGGCCGCTGCGCCTTGCCTTTGCCTTCCCCTTCCCCCTCTCGCTTTCACTCCCAGGCTTGTCGCAGTGCAGCGTCCCCACCCTCCCAGCGTCTTGTCTCTTAGCAACCAGATCCTCCCGGCCGGATCTTGAGTGACCAACTCTGAATCCAGAAAAAATGGACACATGGGAGAGAAAAGAACTCGGATAAAGAATGAATGAAATAGTTGGCGCTGTAGATCACTTTAGTATACCTGTTTAGGTTAGGTAGAATGGGAACGTTGTATCATCTGAGGGACACCAAAAATACCTTGGTTGAGGCGTTGTCCTTATCAGGAAGCATCTCCTGAAAAATGAAAATAGCTCTGGGTTACAAAATCAGTTTTCATTGACATTAATAGGTTCCGCACGTGTGTTATTGTGGTGATTACTATCACTGGGAACCTAGTAAGATATATAAGGTTCAGTCTTGTATGGTAAATACTACGTGCCAATTACTTTTATTTCCACTTGCAATGTATCTGTTCTGAGAACCAAAACTCAATGTTAGGCCAGTAAAAGGGCACCTGGGTGCCTCAGTTAGGCGTCCGACTCCTGGTTTCTGCTCAGATTGTAATCTCAGGGTCCTGAGATCAAGCCCCTCTGGGGCTCCTTGCTCAGCAGGGAGTCTGCTGGAGATTTTTTCCCTCTCTCTCTGCTCCTTCCCCCGCTCTCTCTCTAGAATAAATCTTTTAAAAAAGAGAAAAGGACAGGGGTGCTTGAGGCACTCGGTTGAGCATCTAACTCTTGATTTTGGCTGGGGTAGTGATCTTAGAGTTGTGAGGTTGAGTCCTGGGGCTGGCTCCCTGCTAGGTGGGGAGGCTGCTTGAGATTCTCTCCCTCTCCCTTTGCTCCCCCAACCTCCCCCTCCCTTGCTTCCTCTCTCTCAAATAAATAAATAAATAAATAATCTTTTTTTGAAAAGAGAGAAAGTAAAGCCCTATCAAATGAATAATTACTATAAGGAGATCTGATGATTAAGTGGCTAACTATATGTCAGGAGTTTTTTCTAATTATATCACCTCTGACTTTCTACAAATCTTTTACTATTTTTGTTCCACAGAGACATTGAAGTTGGGCAAGCTCTGTATTTAGGTAAATTCTTAAAGAGAAGCTACTTCCCCTCTACTTCTTTTCTTTCTTCTAGGGTTGAACTCAGTTGTGATGGTGGTGAGCCAGTTTAAACCATGAGGATTAGAAGGACTCATGTGACTGCAGATCAAGAACATAAAAAGAACCTTGGCCCTGAATTACCCTGTGAAGTGAAGCAGCCTAACAGGCCCTAGATTGCTTGTCTACCTCTGGACTGTTATATGAGAAAAAAAAAGTGTTTATTTTTCTTTAGCTACTGTTTTTTTTTTTTTGGTCTGTTACAGCTTAGTGTAGTCCCTAAAAGGGAAAACTTGATTCCTGAAAGTGGTGTGCTACAATAACAAAGATCTAAGCTATGCATGCCATCGGCAGGTATAAGCATATTGCAGGCTAGAAGGCTGGTGACTCTTTCCACATGTATTGGGAAGTGTCACTTATGTTAACTTGGAAGGCAGATTATCAAGCTTGTAGCTCTGAGGAAAGGAGTTTAGAAAAGGTCAGAATGTAAGTTTGTGTTGGCTGACAGTCCTTGCTTTTAGCAAGGTTCAATAAAAAGAAGTCAGTTAATAATCAACCAGTTTGCAAGCAGAGCTAGAGAAAAGAGCTCTACTACTGGACCCCATTCATTTGCTCTTGCTGTTGATCCACATACTATTATGCCATCTCTGAGGGATCAATTCAGGTACTTAATGTTTGAAGCTTTTCTTTATCACTTCTGTCTTTTCTAGAACAATATCCCTTTACAGAATGACAGAGCAAAAGAGAATCCTTGAAAGATGGACTTCCGCAGGGCGCCTGGGTGGCTCAGTTGGTTAAGCGACTGCCTTCAGCTCAGGTCATGATCCCGGAGTCCTGGGATCGAGTCCTGCATCGGGCTCCCTGCTCGGCAGGGAGTCTGCTTCTCCCTCTGACCCTCCCCCCTCTCATGTGCTCTCTCTCTCAAATAAATAAATAAAATCTTAAAAAGAAAGATGGACTTCTTCAATCTTTTTATTCCAAAGTCAGAGAAAGTTTAAGTGACTTGTCCAGGTCAAAGAGCCAATTCATTAGGTTCAGTGACCTTTGCCCAAGGAAAAATCTTTGGCATTGTATAGATGTTCCTTCCTGACGCCTTTTTATGCAGAATGGATAATTTTATCTAAGACTTCTATCTACTTCCCCCTGTTCACCAAGTCTAACCCTTTTATGTTCATAAGCTTATCTATCCCTCTATTAGTTTTAGTACAGACTAGGTTGCTTTAATAGAGACCCTAAATATATTGGTTTAAACACAGTTAAAGGGGGTGCCTGGGTGGCTCAGTCCTTAAGCATCTGCCTTGGGCTCAGGTCATGATCCCAGGGTCCTAGGATTGAGCCCCGCATTGGGCTCCCTGCTTAGTGGGAAGCCTGCTTCTCACTCCCCCTGCTTGTGTTCCCTCCTCGATATGTCTCTCTCTGTCAAATAAATAAATAAAATCTTTTAAAAAGCCCCACACAATTAAAGTTTATTTCTCTCTCAAATTACAGTAAAGGTGGGTGTTCCAGAGCCGGCATGGCTGCTTTGCCATTCTTGACACACAACTTCCATTTCTGAGTCTGAAATGGCTGCAGAGGAAATGTGGGACAGTAGGGTAAGGCAGTCAAATTCTCCATGGGGGGTAGGAAGGAGACAGGTTAAGACAACCTCTAAAATTGGTTGGGGCGCCTGGGTGGCTCAGTTGTTAAGCATCTGCCTTCGGCTCAGGTCATGATCCCGGGGTCCTGGGATCGAGCCCCTCATCGGGCTCCCTCCTCTGCGGGAAGCCTGCTTCTCCCTCTCCCATTCCCCCTGCTTGTGTTCCCTCTCTCGCTGTGTCTGTCAAATAAATAAAAATCTTAAAAAAAAAAATTTTTTAAAAAGGACCACCTCTAAAATTGGTAAGAAATAGCAGGATGAGCACATTATTTAGAAATAAGGTAAAACAGGGGTGCCTGGGTGGCTCAGCCGGTTAAATGTCTGCCTTCAGCTCAGGTCATGATCTCGGGGTCCTAGGATCGAGCCCCATGTCCAGCTCCCTGCTCAGCGGGGAATCTGCTTCTCCCTCTCCCTCTGCCCCTCCCCCACTTGTGCTCACTCTTTCTTTCTCAAATAAATAAAACAAAAAAAGAAGGTAAAAACAGAGTAGCAAATAAGTTAAATGTGATTGCTTCTGGGATCAGGAGTTGGGAGGGACTACTTTATTCCCCCTCCTTTTTTTAAATTACAATTTGATATTTTAAAACCAAGAAATTTTACTATTTTTATAGTTAAAAATATAAATGAATGGATAGGACATATATAGTAAGTAAGGAAAAATAGTAACTTCGAACAAGTTATTTATTCAACTAGCCAAGTTATCAAATATAAAAAATTAACCATAACAATCTAGAATAAAAATTTCAAGTGATACCAACATTGGTGAAGGAAGAGGGGCAGGGGACCAATAGGGAGAAGTGTTTGGAGGAGAAAGCAGGGAGGATGACAGCGTGCCAACCATCCTGTGTTGTTTTAAGACTCCAATATTGATAACTTTAAACACTGGTAGAGAAAAATAAACATCATTAGGGGTTAGAAGTAACCACAACAAGAATAAAAACAGAATGTGTAGCTTTCAAACCTCAAGAAAAGGCAGTGTGCCTTCCCGTCCCAGATCTGTCTTTTGTGTCAACAGTGTTTGGACAGAACAGACCCAGGGACTCCCCTTCTACCAGCCTCCGACCCCCTTCCAACCTCTTTTCCAATGACAACCTTCGGAGCCATCTTCTGCCTCTGGGATGAGCCAACACGCTATTTTGAGTTTAGCTCCTCATTACCGATCAACAGCGAGCTCCTAGATTCCTCAGAATTATTCCACTGAGGTGGAGGCCACTGTCACCCGCGTGGTCAGCATGCATCTGCAGGTCTCCTACACCTGCTTCTCTCCAGGTTTCTATGTTGACCTCGACGATGTGGCTCTGGAGGGCGCGGGCCACTTCTTCTGCATGTTGGCTGAGGAGAAGCACAAGGGGGATGAGCATCTCTTGAAGATGCAAAATCAGCGAGGAGGCTGTGCTTTCTCCCAGGATGTGCAGAAGCGGTCCCAAGAGGAGTGTTGGAAAACCCTGGACACCACAGACGCCACCCTGGTTCTGGAGAGGAACCCGAACCAGGCAGGTCTGGATCTGCATGCCCTGGGTTCTGCACACACAGGCCCCCATCTCTGTGACTTGTTGGAGAACCACAATGAGAAAGTAATCAAGAAGATGTGCCGCCACCTAACTCACCTCCACAGGCCGGCTGGCCCCAAGGCTGGGCTGGGCGAGGATCTCTTGGAGAGGCTCACCCTCGAACACAATGAGGGGCCCAGCAGCCTTTGAGAGGCCCCTCTGGCGTCCCTCCCACCCAGGTGCCAGGGCTGGTACCAGCCTCTCCCTGAAGCCACGAGGCAGCTTTTTAGCCACCCTGGAGCCCTCTCCCAAGCCTGGACCAAATGGAAACAATAAAGCTTTTTTTGCAGCAAAAATAAAAATAAAAAACTGAAGAAGAAAATTTGATTATTAAAAAACAAAACCAAACCAAAAGCATGGTAAATACTAAACTTGTAATAAGGTGGCAGAAATATATGAAATAAAAACATAAAACCATGAGAAGCTATCAAATGGAGATTTTAAATATGTTCCACTTAGAAACAGCAAAGAGACCAAGAAAAAAAAGCAACTATAAAGATGAATTTAAAATACAAGTACAGGGGCACCTGGCTGGCTTAGTTGGTAAAGCATGCTACTCT